GCCATAACTTCTTCCTTCGTGCTAACTGGGTTGAGGCGCCAGAAGTCACCCTTTTTTCTAACTAGTGCAGACTTTTCTTGAAGTTCTCATGGTCTTTTCCAAATCCTATTTCAGGTGAAACTCAGTCCAAAAATCTGTACAAGATCCCACTCAGAAACCTTGTGGGCAGAAGCATCGAAAGACCTCTGAAGTCGCCTTTGGTCTCCAAAGCCGTCACCCCACCCACATCCATCGGCCTTGGCATCGCCGCCATCCCTGTCACTCACTCCCTGTCCCTGTCCCGCATGGAGATTAAAGAAATAGCGAGCAGGACCCGCAGGGAGCTGCTGGGTAACGATGCGCCGTTTTTGTGTTTTCCCTCTTTGTAAACAGACCAGCTGGTCTCACCTTCGGATATTAATCATCCTCAGAGAGCATGAGTTAAAAAAGAAACTTTCCCTTTAATAAAGGATTTATAAATACATTACAGTGCGACCACATCAAGGACTGTACAGTTGACCCAGGTACACAAGGTGTCAGTCTGCATTTTTTGGTGGGGGAGGCCACCCAAACCCTGTCAAGGGCAGAAAAGGCGGTTTGTAAAACAGTGTATCGAGTCTGACACCGTTTTTTTTTAAATAGAAGTATCTGTATAGGTATGATTTTCTAGGAAGTGTCTAGAAGGATTTACAAAGTACATTTCTCAGATAACATTATATTTGTATACTGGAAAGTTTAAATTTACCATGCGTTTTTTTTTCTATTTTTTTCAATGCTTATTTTTGAGAGAGACAGAGACAGAGTGTGAGCGGGGGAAGGGCAGAGAGAGAGGGAGACACAGAATCCGAAGCAGGCTCCAGGCTCTGAGCTGTCAGCACAGAGCCCGACATGAGGCTTGAACTCGAGAACTGTGAGATCATGACCTGAGCCGAAGCTGGACGCTTAACCGGCTGAGCCACCCAGGCGCCCCTCCATTTACCATGTTTTTCTTAATATTTGCGCAGTTCAGTTATTGCTTCTCGGAGCCCATAGACCACGAGGGCAGGCCTGTGGGGATGGCACAGATGTGAGGTGTTTGGTACGCCCCTCTCTCTCGCTGTTACCAAGATGGGAGACCAGAAAGCACGAATCCCCGCGAGAGTTGTGCAGAGGCCAGACTGCCTTAAACACTTTTGTTCCCAGTTGGGAAAACAAAGTGAGGAAATACAGAAACGACGTGCTAAACCAGTAAGAACTGGTTTGAAACTTAGCTGGGACCTGCATGCCCTAAAACTGCAAGGACAGTTAACACATCCCTGCCCTGTGGTCCGTTTGCTGCCGCCCCCGCCGGGGCAGGGATGCAGGCCACCTGGCAGGGAGGGCTTTGGCCCGGTGAAGTCAGGCAGCTTTAGAAGTGGGTGCCTTCCACTGTGCTTTTAAAGTATGTGTACTGCTATTTTAACGCCCTATTCCCAATGAAAGCTTGATCTGCCGGCCTCTGTTTTATAAACCACTGTGCTTTTCTGAAACTGAGCCTCAGAATTGCAGAAGTATAGTTTCCAGGGGTAGGATCATAGATTTTCTCTCCTTCTTTAGACCCTCCTGAGTCCCTTTCTTTCCTTTCTTTTTCTCTTTCTTCCTATACATATATTCTTTATGATCAGGAACAACAACAAAAAAAAAAAAAAACCCTCCACCAACAAGAAACCAATTACTTTAAAATCTATACTTTATCATAAAGCCCTTCCTGACTCTGTCCTAATTAATGGCCCAGTATACAACCAAGGGGTGGGGGGAGGGCATTTTCTGTCTCCGTGGCAGCCCTGTGGTAATAACTCCCTGAACTGTGCTTCTCCCCTATAATCCAGGCCTCTCTGAGGAAGGCGGACCCAAGTCAGAAGGAGTGCCAAAGCCCAAGTCAAAAGCCCGGAAGCAATTAGAAGAAAGCCAAGGAGGCCCCAAGCCAGGCACAGCGAGATCAACTAGCAGCGACAGGTATAGAAGGAGGCCGTCCCCAGCCGTCCCTGCTCAGGGTGGTGGCCCTTTGGGTCACCGCTGCCACGAGGCCCTTTCTGCTGACTGATGATGCCAGTAGACAGATGGTCAGCATCTAGCTCCTCCCTGAGGGGCCCCAGGCTGGCCCAGGGAAAGACCCCTGCAAATGAGCATCCTCACAATTCAGCAAATAAAAATACCTTATGAGAATTTTTCTTTTGCTCACCAGATATTTTTTTACACAAAAATGCTAAGTGTGAGTGACAAAAATGGGCCCTCTCCAGGGCTTCTGGTGGGAATAGAAACAGGTACAGCCTTTCTGGATGGCAGTTCAGCATCCCATGTCAATGAACACTGGTTGAGCCCCACTAATTTGTCCCCTAAGAGCCTCTGTGTCCCTCAAGCAATCCTGTGTGCTCTTGTGTGGAGAGTAAGGGGGCACATGGCCAGGCTCCCTTCATCCATTCAACACACTTCTTAGAGCACCTGGCCCTGAGCTGGCTGTTGGGGACATGAAGATTACTCTTGGGAGGTCCACAGGCCCGGGGAGGGGCTAAGTCTAAGAAGAACATTCTAGAAATTACAGCATTCTGGGGTTGCAGATGATGCAGAGGAATCCAGAGTGCCAGCCGCCCCCCACTTGGGGCAGGGAGGGTCTCAAACACCAGGAAAGGCTGAGCCAGGCCTCATAGATCCAGGAAGCATTAGCCTGGCTGGGAGGGGGCAGCACTTACGGATGTTTTTAATCTAACAAACTGAGCCCCTAACTGCGTGACAAGCCCCACTTTCGTAGACCTCACCTTCTAGTGTGAACTTTGGGTGGGTGGGTAGGGGTCAAGAGGGCTTCTCTGGGGAACCAGCGTTGAGCCAAGCTTTGACTGAATTAGAAGGAATGAGGGGACCAGCAGGGGCAAATGCCCTGAGGCAGACAGGCATGGCCTCCTGAATGGCCCAAGTCTTGGCCAGAGGCTTTTATAGGCTAAATGAGTACTTGCTGAATGAGCAAACTCACGGACTTTGGTCAAAGTGGTTTTGCAGCTATCAAGAGGGGGTGAGGGTGGGAGGAGGCATAAGGGTCAGCAGATCCAGAATCTATAGTCTGTGGTCCTATGGGTAGAAGTCTGAGCCTTGTCTTTCAGGCCATGGGGAGCCCCAGGAGGGTTTTAGGCAGAGAGTGGCATTATCCAGTTTTGCCCTTTAGAAAGGTAAAAAAAAAAAAAAAAAAAAAAAAAAAAATGCCTGACAGACACTTCCTCTTGTCCACTGGCCTTTAAAACTCCCAACAGCCCATGAAGTAGGGCCGGCTGACTGCAGACCCCAACCTCTGCGGGGGTGACTCCTGCATCTCCCAGCTTTCCCCGTAATGGGTGGGGGATGAAAGGGAGACAGGCCTAGGAGCTCAAAGGAGCAGGAAACTGCCTGACAGAGGAGGCCCAGGTCTCCGGTGCTCTCCAGGGATCCTTTACGTGACTTTTCTCTTCTAGGATCACATCAGGCTCCCTGGAAAGTCCTTCTGCTTCAGAAGCCAACCCCGAGGGGCGCTACTACTCAACGGGCTCCGAGCAGGATGCTGTGGCGGACAGAGAAGGCAGCCCCGTGTGGGGCAGGAGCCCCTTCCAGCTCGCAGCTTCCTCGGACGAAGACATTATCGACCTGAAGTAATGGGTCGCGATCGAGTTTGCCATCTTTAATTTTCTTATGGAGGTTTATACTCTTTAACCAGTTCTGACAGCGTTTCTCGACAAAATGTGGCTTTCAGCCCACCCATGATCTACTGGACCAAACCTTCTGCACACCTGGCCGGTTTGGGTCTCTCCAATGTCCGGTGCCATCTTTCTTGACCTTTGTTTCTTTCTGTTCAGGAACCATCAGTCCCCTTGTAATAAAGGTGGTAGATTTCATTGAGGTTTTAGATTGAAACTTTGAATAAATCAAAAATGTTCATTCTTATGTACTGCAACCTTCTCTTATATTTTATATACTTAGATGGAAAAATTATTTTTTCATTACGGTTTTGATTTATGTCACATGCTGTGTTTCTTTTATAAAGAAAAGCCATTGCTTTTAAAAACCTATTATAAATAAGTTTTCTTTCTGCACCTTTGGCCCCTGTTGCTGTTTCGGGTCACGGTGATCGGAACCAGCTGCGTCCCCGCCCGTAGACTTCAGAAAGGCCGAATGGTTAGTTCTCAGAAGCTCCTGCTTCCTCCTCATGTCTCACAAAGATTAACAAGGGATAGGAGCTTGTTACGAGTCTTCAGACAATTTTGTTTGGTTTCATCATTGCTCTGCGATCATATAGCCGGGCAGCAGCCACTCCTGGTCGTCAAAATTATTCTCCTATTCCCTCCTCGTGTTCAGGTCTGCTTTGCGCTTTCATGTGAACCACGTGCCTCCCCCCCCCCCCCGCCCCCACCGCCTTCTGTTGCTCCCTCCTCAAAGTGAGAAGAAAATGCGGGCTTGACCAAGGGCAAACGAAACCGTAAGACGTCAGCCTCTAGCCAGGGGAGATCAGAGGGGGAGCCTGGTTTCACCGACACCATAAAAATGTTCATCTGTGTGAAGAAGGTAATTTACTTCCTCGCTTTAGTCTGACGGATCCCATCGTATTAGCTCTCTTGCCTAAATGACACACCAAAAGGCAGGTGAAGTCATTCCCCCCATTGAAGCATCTCTCAGGGTTCTTCTGCAGGCCTTCTCTGGAAGAGCGGAGAGCTGTGTTGGACCTGACCTTAATCTAACAGATCTTACAGAAGTGGGGGTCCTCCCTTCTTGTGGGCCCTGCACACTGCGGGGACAGCTCCCGTGGCTGGCTGTTGCACAACTGCCCATGTGGGTTTTGTGCAAGAAACAGCTCAACGCGGTGCATCCCATGAAGGCTGCGTAGTTCCCTTCAGCAGACGCGAGAGGCGGGAATGATGCAGACGGCACTCTCTGGGTACAGCCAGGTTATCGCTAGGGGCACGCGGCCGGGCCATTCCTCCGTGTTTTGTTAGGCCCTTTCGTACATAGGAAGGTTTTATGCTGTCTCTCAACCTCACGACAAGTTTTGTGAGTTAGGTTTTATTATTCTTGCTTGTCAAATGAGTAAACTAAGGCTCCGACAGGGGCAGTGATATGAAACTGATGAATTCTCTGACCCTAGGGCTATGCTCTCTCTGCTGTCCACCATACAGAGTCAGGCTGAGTGCCTTGTGTCCATTGGATCTGCTGGTGTTTTTCATGTTAAACTAATTTGTAAGCTTTACCAGCTTGTCTGTGTGTTCTTTCTGTCACCTTTTTGCCTGAAGTTTCTTGCTTCTCAGCCTGGAACAGAAAAGCCACAGGTGATTTAGAACATTCTTCCAAAAAGATTGGCAGCATCAGAACCGCCCCTAAGATTTGCCAAGAGTCATGGATCCGAGGAGCAAATGTAGAAGGGCAAGAGGTGGAGCCTATGAATCAGATCGATGGGGCTTCACTTATAAAGGGGGTGATGGGAGGTTGCTCTGGCTGTAATATCTGCTTCACCAAGAAGTGAATGCTGCACACCTGGGAAGGGACACCACCAACCAGAGGGAGGGAGGAGGTTTGTAGGAGCCGATGGCTCAGAGGGCTGCACTAGCTGGGCTCACTGGACCGTCCTCTCCGCGTAAGCCTCTCCGCACACCCCACTGGCTGAGTTCTAGAGTACACCGTGGAACTACAACAGTTCGCCCACAGAGTTTCAGGCATTCATCCACTCCGCAAGCACCCAGGCAGGGCCCACTGACTGGAAGAGGAGGTCATACCACTGAGGGAGGGAGGGAAGTAAACAGGTGATCACAAAGCAGTGATAAGCGCTGAGAGAAGAATTGATAACTTGAGCACAGGATGCTGTGGAAGCATAGAGGGGCGGGTGCCTGTCTTCAGGTACAATCAGGTGGCTGCACGAGGTGAAACCATGTTCACAGTCCTACTGCGCAGCATTTGAGTGCTTCGCGTGTGCTTGGTCTTTTATGTACGTTGCCTCTGCTCAAAGCCCTCCCAGAAGGTGGCTATTGTCATCCCCACTTAGAGATGAGTTAACAGAGGCCCAGAGAGGAATTAGAAGCCAAAGCACTTACTCTTATAGCCCTGGTTCTTTCACGAATTACACAGAACTCCACCTCAGCTGCCCGGTCCAGAGAGTGTTAGGTACAAATGGCAAGATTCTTCAGCGCCCTGACATCGTACCTCCAGCAGCGACCTGGTTTACGTGTGCGAAGAGGTTAGCTGTTAACATCGGCAAGAGACTCAAAGATGGCAGGTGGTAAGATGAAGATTCAAGAGGTAGGATGACCTATGAAGTGACGGTAACTTAACAGGGAGCCTGGGTCTCACCTTTTAAGCTCAGATCAGTCACACATATGAGGACCCTGCCCAACACAGACAGATTCTTAGCACCTGGAGGTCCTAGTGGTTGTTGGCTGGTAGCCATCAGCAGTCTGCCCCCCACACCCCCCAGTCATGACCGGCACAGCGGGGGGTTGCAGTACGCGGGGCCATGCCTCTGCCCTCAGCAGCCCAGCTTCCAAAAGAAAGCGGCCCAAAACAGTCGTTTAAAGACATTCCTCCCTGCGGCTGTCAGTGGGCTGATCCGGGCCAGGTACTTCCAACCCAGGCCCCAGAGCAACGGTCAACGCAGAGCAGGAAATGCAGAGCAGCCGAGGCAGCCTACTGCCCAGAGTCGGGGCGGAAAGTCCTGCGCGCAGCCCACCTGCTCCACCTTCGTCCTGCTGCTAGCCTCATTGGTTGAAGCTAGACTGAGAGGCGGCTCCAGGAGAAAATACAAATACGCCTTCCATCTTCATTGGTCAGCTCAGCTGGAGGCTGATTCCCGCCTCTGGGTTCGCACCACACTCCTATTGGATGGTTATAGTCCACGCCCAGATGCAAGCTCCGCCCCATCTAAACATTGGCGAGCTAGGTCCTAGGGCCGGTTCCAGTGAGCGACTCCAACCGGCTCTTTGCTCCCGTTGGTCGGCTTTGATTTGGGGGTGGCTCCTAGCGCAGACGCTAACCCCGCCTTGCGTTCCATTGGCCGTTCCCATCCCACCCCAGAGCCGCCCCTCCCCTCCCATTGGCCGGCTCTGCTGTGAGAGGCGGGTGCCGGCTGTACTCGCGGGACCCGTGACAGTTCAAGCGACAGAGCTGACCAAGCGGGCGTTGGCTGCAGACATGACGCCGGAGGACCAGGAGGAGACCCAGCCGCTCCTGGGGCGCCCAGGCGGCAGGTGACGGGGTCGGGGAGGGGGGACTTGGACCCGGGGAGTGGCCTCGCCCCTTCTGCTGCGCCCAGGAGGGCGCCGCTCACCGACCGCCCTGTCCCCGCAGCGCCCCCCTCAGCCGCCGGGTCTTCCTCGCCGCCTTCGCCGCCGCCCTGGGCCCGCTCACCTTTGGCTTCGCGCTCGGCTACAGCTCCCCAGCCATCCCGAGCCTGCGGCGCGCCGCGGCCCAGGCCCTGCGCCTAGACGACGACGCCGCCTCCTGGTTCGGGGTGAGGCCTCGGGCTCACCCTCCAGCCTGTCTGGGACCCTCCTCCTCCCGCCCCACGCGCGAGGGGACCCCGCCCTTACCTTGCTTCGGGCGGGCACTGAGACCCTCTTCCGGGTGCGTCTCGGCTCTCCTGCCAGGGTCACCCTCCCCCTCCGACCCCCATCCTGGGACCCCCATCCCCTTTCCGCTGAAGCTGCTGCTGGGGCTGGGGTTGAGGGCGAGGTCGGGACAAGGCTCCCTGGCGTCCCCGCTTCATCCTGCGGTCGTCTCGCCCCCAGGCCATCGTGACCCTGGGCGCCGCGGCTGGGGGCGTGCTGGGCGGCTGGCTAGTGGACCGCGCCGGGCGCAAGCTGAGCCTGCTGCTCTGCACCGTGCCCTTCGTGGTCGGCTTTGCCGTCATCACCGCGGCCCAGAACGTGTGGATGCTGCTCGGGGGCCGCCTCCTAACCGGCGTGGCCTGCGGTATTGCCTCGCTCGTAGCTCCGGTGAGTGTCCCCCAGCCTCGCGCCCTGGGACAGAGAAGGAGCAGACCTGGGGGCGTGCTTCTCCCTGGCTGCGGCCTCCTGGGTGCCTGGCACCGTGCCCCTCACCACCTTTATCTTCCTTACCCCCACAACGGGCCTTGGGAGGAGCCGCCCATTATCCTCGTTTACAGATGAAGTGAGCTTCAGAAACTGAAGTCCTTTGTCCGACCACAACTAGTCAGTGGCGAAGCTACTTATTACTCGAACCCAGGACTGTGCCACTTAACCAGGCTTCTCTTTTGCTCTACAAATAAGCTGCCATCTGTGGGTGGTCATAGAAGCCTTCAGATCTTAGATCTCCCATTGTCATTCAGGCCACTGACTACAGTTTAGCAGGAAAATTCCTTTCCGGTTTAGCCTGGCAGCAAAGACTGCTGACCTCTGCTGCTCCCCTTCATTTCTCAGGAACTAGTCCTCCAGCTGCTTCATCTCTTTTCTCTTCCCATCCCCTGACCCACCGCTATCCGGGCTGATTTTGTTTTTTTTTTTTTTTAAATATTTTTATTTATTTCTAGGAGAGAGAGAGACAGCATGAGCAGGGGAGGGTCAGAGAGAGAGGGAGATACAGACTCTGAAATAGGCTCCAGGCTCTGAGCTGGCAGTCAGCACAGAGCCCGACGCGGGGCTCGAACCCACGAACCGCGAGATCATGACCTAAGCGAAAGTCGGACGCTTAACCGACTAAGCCACCCAGGCGCTCCATGGGCTGATTTTGTATACCTACGGGAAATCCCGGCTCTGCTGCTTACTGGGGGAGAGCACCTCTCTGTGTCTCGTTTCCTCCCCTGTAAAGTGGGGAATGAAGGCACTGCCTCCTGTAGTGGTTGTGGGGATTGAGGGAGACTCTGCACGTATAGCTCTGGCGTGGCTTGTGGAAGGGCTTGGACTCCGGCAGCTGAGATCACAGGGTGACCAGGGAGCTGCTGCTGACCCTGGGCTTGATCAACTACCCACACGTCAACCTGGTTCAGATTAAAAGTAGTGGCTCCGAGTCCTCCCTGGCCATCCGTTTGTACCCCCTGCTCACTTTTATCCACATTTGCTAGGCAGTGGGCAGCAGCCGAGATGGATTTTATGTTTTGGGTTTTGACTGGACAAAAACACACCCATCTTAGCCAGATGCATAAGGTAATAGAATAACCGAGAAGCGTGGGCAAAACCTTCCTGGACCCTGATCCCAAAGGAAGCAGTGGCAGTCACTGGTAGCAACTGAGGCAGAGATCTGGTTCCAAGGGCACTGCTCCGAGGGTGGTCCTTGGACCGGCAGCCTGGGTGTCCTCTGAAGCAAGTTTGACAGGCAGAATCTTAGATCTACTGCACCAGAGCCTGCATTACTAAGGGTAGTCATGCAATTAAATGGAAGTCAGAAAAGCTCCGCACCACCTCCCCATGTACACACACAGCAGCCGCGTACATACCCTTACTCCCCTGTAAAACACCTGCTGCCGATCACTTGGAGAGGCGGGGAGGTATGGGGAGGGCTTCAGCAACCTGGCACCTGCAATCAGAGGCCCCCTTGGCTTGCAGCAGCCCCAGCTGAGGGTCTTCTCAACTCTGAATAGCTGAGGCTCTACAGTTTTAAGAACTGAGCACCAAGTAAGGTTTCTTCTCCATTGCCACCAGGTGTATATCTCTGAAATTGCTTACCCGGCAGTGCGGGGGCTGCTGGGCTCCTGCGTGCAGCTGATGGTGGTCACGGGCATTCTCCTAGCCTACCTGGCAGGTATGCTTTTCACAGCCTCCCTTTTGATCCCTGTTAATGGCCGGGTGGCCATTTTGCGGCTGTAGAAACCGAAGTACAGAGAGGTCAAGGGAATTGCCCAAGGTCACACAGCCAATGCCCCAGGTGCCAGGGTCCCAGACTACCTCCCTGAGCTCCTGGGATGTGTGGGTCTTGTGACTAACTTCCAGAGAGAGCAGGAGAAGGGGATGTCCTCATCTTCCCAGGCCGGAAGCCCATTCTGAGGGTGTGGGGAGGGCTGACAGGTTAGGGCACTATGCAGTGGGTGACAAACTAAGGATTCGAGGGGTAGGTGGGGCGCTGCCAAAACCTCCAGCCCAGGAGTTTGGAGGGCCCAAGTCTGCCTCTCAGAAATACTAGTGCTAGATTTGCAGTGGGAAGGAGGGTCCCAGGGAACCCGAGGGTCAGAGCTGGGGTCAACGTACGGAAGCTTCTGGAGGCAGACATGTTTTCACCAGAACTGGGGTAGAAAGAGGCTTCATACCTGATAGTTCCGCGTTAGGGGACACTCTCTGACTGTGTCACATTGCTTCAGGGAGCCTCCCTTCCCCTGTCTTTAAGTGGATATAACCCCACCGAGTCCCAGGCTGTTGAGGGACTAAATTAAGTGACACATGAAAGGCAGCAGGCCCTAAATGAGAATTGTCAAAGGATGGCCCGAGACCTAGGGGGGAATGGGGGCTTCAGAAGCCAGACCAGAAGTGGCAAAGCCCAGAGCCTGTGCCCCCTGGTGCTTCAGAGTGGACGACATGCCAGTTTGTGGTCTTTAATTTTTACCACTTAGCATCCAGACTCTAATTCAGAGTCCCACCAGCAGTCTGGCTGCTTTTGGGGGCCCCCAGAGTGCCAAAGCCCCTGCCAAAAACAGACACTGACATTTGGGACAGACACGTGGGTGTCAATATACCTACAGAATTACCTCCTGTTCATTATAACCTGCACTTTCACTGGTCAGTTTCTGTGAATATCAATCCGCTGGTGTTCAGGCAGAAATCTCTCCTGCTCTGTCCCCCTTCCTCTCCAGAGGAGCCCACCTTGCCTGCCTCTCTCAGTGGCCTTCCAGGGTCCATGTATGTATGAGGACTATGCATATTTACTCTCCCACCCCTCCCTTCTAGAAAGAAAAGCAAGTGCCTCACTCATTTTTGATTGCCACATAGTATTCACTGAGCAGATGTGGCATGACGTGCCCACCAGCGCTTCTGCAATGTGTATCATCAAGAGTTGATCACAACAGTATTAGTAACAAACATGAGCAAGGGTAGTAGCCACATGGAGGTAGTGAGGCCTCCACCCTTTAAGCTGAGTCTTGGAGGTTGATGAGAGAACAGGCACTCCCTGATAAGGTCCAGGCTGGCCCACTCAGCGCTGACATCTGACCTCCCTCCCCTCCCCAGGCTGGGTCCTGGAGTGGCGCTGGCTGGCTGTGCTGGGCTGTGTGCCCGCCTCCTTCATGCTGCTGCTCATGTGCTTCATGCCCGAGACCCCACGCTTCTTGCTGACCCAGCACAGGCGCCAGGAGGCCATGGCCGCTATGCAGTTCCTGTGGGGCTCAGAGCAGGTCTGGGAGGAGCCCCCTGTCAGCCCTGAGCACCAGGTGAGAGACCAGGAGCCAGAGCCGGGCTGGGCAGCAAACAGCAAGATATGGCCCCTTTGCAGCCAGGGAAGGCTAGCACAGCCTGTCCCCAAGGCTGCACAGACACATACAGGGAAGGGAAGCACAAGCGGTGGCATTGTCCTATGTGTGAGCAAGCAAAGACCCACTACTTGGCTGGGCCCTAGCCTTGATCTTACTGTCCCAGGAAGAGAAAGGCCCAGCTGGGCAGACTTGAGGAATGGGATTTTTAAATGGGATGCTGCAGGGCAGCGGAGAAGACCGAGTCTCTGCCACTTACTCGCTCTCTGACCTTCCCCTCCTTAAGCCTTCCTTTCTTCACTTGGAAGGTGGGAGTCCCAGCACATGCCTGGTGGTGGGAGGGACTCAGCGGCGCAGAAGTGGCACCCAGCACAGCCCAGGCCTGAGGCTGGCAGGATCCTGGAAGCCCGTCTATGTACCCACATTGCCTCTTTGTAGTTCCCCCAGGAAATCAGGAAATGGCATGGGGAGGTGAGGACCTTACAAATGGGGAGGCGAAAGTGATGCCGGGACCTGTCTTGGACCTGTGGCCCAGGTGATAAGAGGCTGAGCCTCACTCCCTCCACCATTTAGGACAGAGGCTCAAAGCCAGCAGGCCCTTCGGGAGGGGGCGGGGAGACGCACTGACACCGGTGTCTGTCTGAGCAGGGTTTCCGCCTGGTCCAGCTGAGGCTTCCTAGCATCTACAAGCCCTTCATCATCGGCGTTTCACTGATGGCCTTCCAGCAGCTGTCAGGGATCAATGCTGTCATGTTCTATGCAGAGACCATCTTTGAGGAGGCCAAGTTCAAGGTAAAGAGGCCTCCGCCCCAGCCTGCCTCATCTGGAGGCTGTGTGGATGGGGCCCGGTCTTGGGGTCTTTACCTGACCCACCTCGGCCCATCTCCCCAGGACAGCAGCCTAGCCTCGGTCATCGTGGGCATCATCCAGGTGCTGTTCACTGCCATGGCAGCCCTCATCATGGACAAAGCTGGGCGGAGGCTGCTCCTGACCCTGTCAGGTGAGGCCCAAGGGCAAGGGCTCAGCCCTTTGAAAGTGGGGTGGCGCAGGCCAGGGTCCCCACTGTAGCCTGGAGGGGCTTTGCCAAGGCCACCACACTGTGACAGGAAAAGGCCAGCCAAGCACTCCTGAGAACAAAGCCGAGATTCGCGAGAGCCCTCACTGAGTGCTCCAGACCAGGCCTGCACTAACAGACCCTTGCGCTGAGCCTCCAAGCAGGCGCCGTGAGGGCCCCGGTTTATGATGAGGAAACTGAGGACCCAACAGGGGAAGTGACTCAGAAGCCGGAGGTCTTTTGGGGCAAGTGACTTCACCTCTCTGAACCTCAGTTTCCCCCGTATGAAATGGGGGCGATGGGCCATCGTGAGGATCCAGAGATGATCCGCACGGGGTTGAAAACCATGCTGCTGTCACCGTTACCACTCCTGCCCCTCGGTCCAGGGAGACGCTGCCACCAGGAGCTTCTCGGAGTTAGCTCTGGTTCGAGGTCCAAGCTGGGGGCCGGCCTGGGCTGGGTGCCACCGGTCTGGGCTCCTGAGTCCCACTCACCGCCCTCTCAGAGACACCCAGGCCGCATCCCTGTGGCCGCACGGCGCTGAGGCTCTAGCCCGAGTGCCCCGTGCCCAGGCTGCGGTCCGCCCCCCGCCCCCGGAGCCCTGCGCACTGCCCCCTTCCACCTGCAGGTGTGTTCATGGTGTTCAGCACCAGTGCCTTTGGCGCCTACTTCAAGCTGACCCAGGGCGGCCCCAGCAACTCCTCCCACGTCAACCTCTTGACGCCCACGTCCATGGAGCCCGCCAGTGCCAGCGTGGGGTTGGCCTGGTTGGCAGTGGGCAGCATGTGCCTTTTCATCGCCGGTGAGAGGGGGCCCGTGGGGAGGTTGGGCGGGGGGCCTCTGGGGACATCCTGTCACTGCCAGGTTCCTGCTGCTCCCAGCAAGTCCAGGCCTTGCCTCCCTGTCCCATAGGCCCCCGGCCTCTGCTGCATTTATGGCTCTGACCAAGGCCCCGGGCACAGAGCTAAGCCCTTCTCTGCTCCCTTCACTTACTCCCCTGAACAGTCCTCAAGCAGGCCCCGCCATGACCCCATTCTTACAGAGAAAAGCCTGATACTAAGAAGTAGAGGGACTGGCCTGAGACATCGCTGCAGGAAGGCGCAGAGCTGGGGGGGCCCTGACTGGACACCGCGAGGCTTTGGCTCAGGGGCTCTGCGGCCAGCCAAGGGGTCTGTCCCTATGGGCACTGATGCCTGTCTTGCTCCCACAGGCTTCGCTGTGGGCTGGGGGCCCATCCCCTGGCTCCTCATGTCTGAGATCTTTCCTCTGCACGTCAAAGGCCTGGCCACAGGTGTGTGTGTCCTCACTAACTGGTTCATGGCCTTCCTGGTGACGAAAGAGTTCAGCAGCGTCATGGTAAGTGCAGGCCCTGAGGGCCTCTCCCTCACGTAGTCAGTGGGGAGAGCTTTTTAGAATTCCTCTTCCTGCAGATGACTCAGGATCAGTGGCTGAGGCCCCACCATCCTGGGACACCGGCTGCCTTGGTCAGGGATGAAGGGAAGACAGATGGGCCAGGAAAGGTGCAGAACACTGGCTGTGACTGCTCGGGAGCCTCCAGGCTACCCCGGCAGAAGGAAAGCAGGCTACAGCTTCCGCCATTGGACAGTGGGGACACAGGCCAGGATCTATGGCTGTGTGGGAAGAACCTTGGCTTTGGGGTTGAGAACCCTGGGCTCTAGCCCCACCTCAGCCACTTCCCACTGTGTGACCTTGGGTTTACTGCTCACCTTCTCTGAACCAGCTTCCTTGGCTGAAGATGGAGGAGGGTGACGGCACCTTCCCCTCAGGGTTGTAGGACCGTCAGTTCCTTTTATTTTTTGTTTGTTTTTTAAATAGTTCTTTTGTTTGTTTGTTTTTAAATTTATTTTTGAGAAAGAGAGACAGCGTGAGCAGGGGAGGGTCAGAGAGAGAGGGAGACACAGAATCTGAAGACAGGCTCCAGGCTCTGAGCTAGCTGTCAGCACAGAGCCCGACGCGGGGCTCAAACCCAAGAACCGTGAGATCATGGACTGAGCTGAAGTCGGACGCTTAACCAACTGAGCCCCCCAGGTGCCCCCATCCGTTCATCTTAAAACTTTGCTGCTTTTGCATGGATGGCCTGACACAGCCATAGACCCTGCGCCAGGGGCTCCCCGGCCGATAGGGGAGGATGGTTCTGGAGCAGATAGGCCACCTGTCCAGGCATTCATTCCCCGCCCAGGTCTCCTGGTACATACCATGTCCAGGCCTGTTCAAGGAGCCAGAGACTGCAATGACAGCAGTGAATGCGGTGGACAGGGTGCCCTGTGGGTGGATGGGGGTGGACAGGGTGGATGAGGTTGGGCTGGCAGCGGACAGCAGAGGGAGAACAAACCACCAGGAGGCTGGGCACAGGGTGGGGGGATGGAGGGCAGGCCATGAGAGGCATGGATGTCTGGGGTCGGCCTCGACTCTGCAGGGCCTGGGTCTCAGGCGGGCTGCCCTGGGGAACACAGCAGGAAAGCCAGGGCAAAGTCTTAGGGGTGGAAATTACTCGCTGGGAGCTGTGTGGAGGGACCAGCAACAAAGGGGGGTGGAGGAGGCGGTCAAGGACCTAACAGTGACCCAGGAGTGTACAGTGTCCCAGAGTTTAGGGGTGGGGGCGCTAAATCACTGGGTTCCAGAGAAAGAGGAGCTGACAAGGGAGGGGCCTTTGGTTGTGGCACCAGGAGGTCACTGGGTCTGTCCTGGGAGGGTGACCAGGCTCTGAGTGAAGGGAATTGCTCCCTCTTCCCTCCATGCCAGTGGGCCCTGTGTGTCCTATATGCTCACACTGGCCCAGCTCAGCCTGGGGCACCAAGAAGGGACTCCTCTGGGGGGCAGGGAACTCAAGGGGCAGGGCCAAAGCACAGTGTAGAGAGTAGGCCTGGGGGCCCTGGGGGCAGACGTCGGGGGTAGGAGCCCAGCTGTCCCTTGGCAGTGGGTGTCTGACCTTGGGGCAGGCACTGCATGACCATGGGTGTCAGCTTCCCAGCCACCCAGCTTCCACACCTTGCATGGTGCTTGGTGCAGGCTTCCGGATGGCAGGCCCAGACCCTCCCACACACACCTGAGCCTGGGTGGGGCCCGGGCCTCAGCTCAGGGTCCGTGAGGGCTCCTGCCCTGTCGTGTCCACACAAGGCCCTTCCCCTCTCTTTCCAGGAGGTGCTCAGGCCCTACGGTGCCTTCTGGCTCGCCTCCGCCTTCTGCATCTTCAGTGTCCTTTTCACTCTGTCCTGTGTCCCTGAAACCAAAGGAAAGACTTTGGAACAAATCACAGCCCATTTTGAGGGGCGATGACAACCCCTTCTCATGAGTAGTGGCTGCCACTCCCAGCAGGGCTGGCTTTGGGCTCCAGAGGGGACGGAGCCGCCTGTGACTGCAAGCTGGGCCTCAGCCAGAGCCTGGAGCCCATGCCTGTCCCCAGGGAGCTGGAATGCAGGACCACAGCCCTTCGGAGCCTTGTCCTACTGCCCAGCTCTCTACAGCCCCAGTGAACCATGGATACGAGGTTCCTGGCCCCAGGGTCCAGTTCCCACCTCCACCCTGCGACTCAGGAAGAGGGAACCCCTTGGAGGGGCTTTGCCGCCCTGTGGTCCATCGTCCACAGGCCATTTCCTCCTTGCCATGAAAGTAGCAGCAGAGGAAGGGGACTCTCAGCTCCTCACTTTCTGGAGGAGATGCTTTCGGGTGGTGACCCCTGGTTTCTCCTCTCACGTGGCTGCATTATCAGGAAGGAACTTTGTTTGCCAAATAAAGAGTTGGCTCAGAAAATCAGGCCTTGGCCTCTTTGTGTGAAATGCAGTTTGAGAAGGACATTTTCCCATCCCTTCCGGGTACCAGGCCTCCCGCGGACTGGGCCTCGCCACGAACGTCTGTTGATCAGCAGGGCTCATTCTTGGCACTTGGACATCATTTCTGGCTCCTTCATCCTTGGGCTTAGTCCCCTGGATTAGTCATCAGATCTTATTAACAACAAGGACACATTTCTTCTTCTAGTGACTTTAGTGGAGCCACAAGTCTTTCATAAATTACTTCTGTTATCCATTATATAAGTAGCACATGTTTATTGGAGGAAAATTGGAAAACACAGATTTATGTGGTATAATGATTTTTATAGCGGTTAACCGTCTGCTAGGCGTGGCCCTCAGCACTTTACAATTATTTCTTAATTAACTCATTAGCTTTGGATAAGTGATACAGTAAGTACGCGCAGCTGTACCTTTCCAGAGGTAATTTCTTTTAAGGATTTGGTTCTATCCTCGGGCGCCTGGATGGCAAAGACGCTTAAGCCTCCGACTGTCGATTTTGGCTCAGTTCGGGATCTCGTGGTTTGTGAGTTCGAGCCCTGCATCCAGCTCTCTGCTGTCAGCACAGCAGAGCTGATGACTCAGTCAGTTAAGTGTCTGACTCTTGGTTTCAGCTCAAGTCATGATCCCAGGGTTGTGAAATCTCTGCTTGAGATTCTCTCTCTCTCTCTCTCTCTCTCTCTCTCCCCCCCCCCATCTCCCCTGCTTGCACTTTCTCTCTCTTTCTCAAATTAAAAAAAAATTTTTTTTAAGAATTTGATTCTACTCTGAAAGCTCTTCCTCCCAACATCTGTCTTTTCTAGCATCACTACGTACAGGTAGAGGACACCACACTTCCCTTTCCGTGATCTGCTTTAGTCACCTCCCTGGCTGTACAGCCCCCACACGTGCCCACCTTGACATCTTCTATTAAGCCTTGTCCTCCTGCCCAGCTCTCTACAGCCCAGTGAACCATGGGTACGAGGTTCCCGGCCCCAGGGGAGACTGGGGAGTAGGGAAGTGGAAGCGCAGTTGGGTCCAGGTCTGAGCAATGAGGAGAATTTCTGGAAGATTCTGCAATGGCTGCTCTGAGTTCAGTAAAATGTGCTAAGTAATACACTGGAACTTTCAGCCTTAGCAAAATCCAAGTTCCTTAGAGACTTCCAGAAGCACAGTCATGTCCACATGGTAATAATTGCATATATACGTTCTCATTCTTCCTGCCTGCACAGCGGCCCACCAGGCTGAGAACCACATTCTGTGGATGGGCGGAGTATTCCACAAATGTCAATTAGGTCAGTTGTTGAATAGAGTGGTTCGGTTTTCTACATCCTTTCTGACTTTCTGTCCACTTGGTCTACCATTTATTGAGAGAGAAGTGTGGAAATCTCCGCCTGTAAATGTGGATTTCTTTCTCCTTATAGTTGGATTTCGCTTCATGTGCTGTGGAGCTCATCACTAGGTGCATGCACATCTGGGATTGTTACATTTTGACTGTTTTGTCCTTTATCATTATGAAATGACCTTAATCCCTGCTAATATTCCTCATTCTGAGGACTACTTTGTCTGATGCCAGTATAACCACTCCAGCCTTCTTTTGATTGGTGCTTTGACATTTTCAATTATATCTTATTATATGTTCCTTTTTCATAGTATCCTATACTTTTCTTTGTGATGGAAATCCCTTTGGGGTTTCCCTGAGGATACATATTTTTACTTTTATTTTTATTTTTTTTAATTTTTATGTTTATTTTTTATTTTTGAGAGAGACAGAGTGCGAGCAGGGGAGGGGCAGAGACAGAGGGAGACACAATCTGAAGCAGGCTCCAGGCTCTGAGCTGTCAGCACAGAGCCCAGTGTGAGGCCCGAACCCACAGACCATGAAATCATGACCTGAGCCGAAGTTGGACACTTAACTGATTGAGCCATCCAGGTGCCCCTATTTTATATTTTTTTAATGTTTATTAACATTATTTTGAGTGAAGGAGAGTGTGTGTGCATGTGCAAGTTGGGGATGGGCAGAGAAAGAGAGGGAGAGACAATCCCAAGTAGGCTTCACGCCCCGGGCAGAGCCTGGCATGGGGCTCAGTCTCATCACTGTGAGATCATGACCTGAGCTGAAATCAAGAAGTGGATGCATAACCAACTAAGCAACCAACTAAGCAATATACCCGCATATTTTCACTCTTAAAAATAAACTTTATTGGGGGGCCTGGGTGGCTCAGTCGGTTAAACGTCCGACTTCAGCTCAGGTCATGATCTCACGGTTTGTGGGTTCAAGCCCCACATCAGGCTCTGTGCTGACAGCTAGCTCAGAGCCTGGAGCCTGTCTTCGGATTCTGTGTCTCCCTCTCTCTGACCCTCCCCTGCTCATGCTATCTCTATCCCTGTCTCAAAAATAAATAAAACATTTTAAAAAATAGACTTTATTAAGGCATTATTTGTATACCATAAAATTCAACAACTGTAGGTATAAACATTTGATGACTTAGGTGGAGCTGTGTACCCACCACCACAACCAAGATATAGGACATTTTCATCAGCTCAAAATGTTCCCTCATGTCCCTTTGCAGTCAGTCTCCTCCCTATAATTTTGCCTTTACTAGAATTTTTAAAAAATGTTTATTTTGAGGAAGAGAGTAAGAGAGAGCATGCAGGCACACATGTAGGGGAGGGGCAGTGAGAGAGGGAGAGAGAGAATCCCAAGCAGGCTTGTTGGGCTCGATCCCATGAACCGCAAGATCATGACCTGAGCCGAAATCAAGAGTTGGGCACTAAACTGAGCCACCAGGCGCCTCTCCTTTCCTGGACTTTTACAAAAATCCTATCGTTTGTAGTATTTTGCGGCTGTCTTCTCTAACTTAGCAGAGCGCTTTTAAGATTCATCCGTGCTGCACGCATCAGCAGTTCTCTTTTTACCGTTGAGAAGTGTCCCACTGTACATTTGGACTAGTTCCGATTTGGGGCTATCGTGAAGAAAGCTGCTGTGAGCACTTGCACACACGTCTCCTCAAGGAGAGGAACTACCGGCTCATACGGTAAGTTGGTTTCACTATTGTAAGAAGCTGCTGAACTGTTTTCCAAAGCGGCGGTGCCGTTTTGCGTTCCCATCAGCAGCGTCCAAGAGTTCTGGTGGTTTCACATCCTCAACAACACTCGGTATTCACCATTATGAGTAAGACTATTTGTACATTTTCAACTTTTTGAAAATTGTCTTCTCTGATTTCCTCCAGAAATCGTCTCTTTTATGCCGCTGTTCTAGCTCAAGTATCTGGTGAGCTTCGGTTGTCCATACTTAGGAATGAAGTGCTATAGGGTTTTAATTGCAGTAGCTGGTATGTGCACCCCACCCCTGCACCTGTTCTCAGTTCTGTTATGGTTTTTTACATCTTTATACATCGTCACTGTCATTTCAGTGGGAACTCTGGGAAGAAAAAGGGGAAATGTGTAGGTTCAGTCCACCAGCTTGAAATGAAAGCTTTCTTCGTTCTTTTAATGATAATGCAGTGTTCGTTTGCCATTGGAGTCACAGTGTGTGGCAAAGAGTTAGGTGTTCACATATTTGTTAAATTCAACAAATTAAGAGGATTTATTGTATAACTATGTCAGAACTTAAATCAACCTCACATTGCTCCATGTTCAGATTGTTTCCAGTGTTCTTAACCCTGCTATTACATATAGAGTTAGAGGGAGATGAGAAACAGAGGTGGCAGATGAGAGAATGAGATGAGAAAGATGATGGTGATAGAGATGAAGACAGAAAATGGAGATGGAGGTAATGTGGAAGCGATGGAGGAGAGGCAGAGAGATGCAGGTGAAACAGAAGAGACAGAGGTGAGGCAGATGGAGATGGAGGGGAGATAGACAGAGACAAAGATGAGGTAGAAGAGATGGAGGTGAGATAGAGAGATGGAGATGATGATAATGGAAGTGGAGATGGTTAAGCCATGGGCAAGGAAAATGTCGTTGTGGCTTCAACTCTATCTTGGTCTCTTTCCTCCATAACCCAGGGGCCAGGAGCCAGTGCAGTGTGGAGGGTAAGAGACATTGGGCTTAGTTCAAATTCTGGTTATACTACTCCCTGCCTGTGACCTGGACGAGTCATTTAACCTAAGCCTCAGCTTATTCACGTGTAAAATGGGCCCAATGATGTTGTCTCCTCATGGGGTTGTGAGGATGAAAAGAGAGAAGTATGTAAAGCACCTCAAACCGAGGACGGCACAGACTAAGCGCTCAGTGGACGTGAGCTGCTGCTGGTGGTGAGGCCGTGCACGTGTGGATGGGAGACTGTGATGAGGCAATGCTGGGAGCTGTGTGCAAGGGGGGATGCTCAAGGGGTGCCTCAAAGGGACATGTGAAACCTTTACACTTGTTTATAGTCTATTTCCTACGCTGATGCCTCAGCAGCTCCTACTCAGACCATCACTGATTGCTACCAGCATCCACTTACAGGTACCAATGACTGTGGACACACACACTCTTCAGAGGCCCCCTTAAGACTTCCTTGGGGCCTTCTCATCAGAGCACAAGATGCTTCAGGGACCAGAGCCAGCCCCAGTTTCAGACCTGCCCCAGAAGCCCAGCCCAGCACCATCAGGCACGGGACCATGGAAGGCAGGGAGGAACACCCCTAAAAGACAGGTGAAGCAGCAGCAGCTGCGCTTCACCCCTCCCAAGGTAGAAATCTGGACAATCCCCCACACCCATCCCATGTCCAATCCCTGCCCCCAAAACAACTTCCAGGAGAATCCTCGCTTCTGCATTCTTGAGGCAAGAAATGCCCTAACGCCCCCCAGGGGCCATAGGCAGAATTGCATTAGTTGAAGAGTGAAGCCCTTGGCTTCCTCCCTTTGGTCCCGGATGGAAGGCCAAGACTAGGGCAGGAAAACCGCTACCGTCCATTGGCCATTATGGGGTTAGCACCTAATGGGCCTGGGGGCAATAGGCAGAACAGCACCCACTGGACGGGGTCAGGAGCCAAGGAGGGCAGGCAGCCTCTGGAAGCTGGGAAAAGCAAGGAAAGGGATTCTCCCCTAGAGCCTCCAGAAGAAACATAGCCCCACCCACATCTTCATTTTAGCCCAAGGAGACCCATCTTAGTCTTCTGGCCTCCACTGGTTGTAAGCTCAAATTTGCAGCAGCCCGACAAAGAGATAAGGTTATCTGAAAGAGATCCGTGGGTGTGGCTTGCCCAATTGAGTGAATCCCAGTAAGATTCATACAAGCCCCACAAACTTCTTTTGGCAAAAACCAAAACCAAAACCACCCGCTGTGGCTGAAAAGGCACAGACAGTACAGAATCTTAACGTCAAAATGTCTCAAAACCGAATTAACAGAAAATTGCCTGGGTAGTGAATAATTTTCAACAGGCAAGAGGGGAAAATGTCATCAGAGCTCTGAGGAAGCCCATGGAAATATCCTCTGGCATAGCGCGGAAGCCTCCAAAGGATAGAATATTTCGGAAATCTCCTCCGCAACAGTGCTAATGGAACACTATTAACATTATCCAGGACTTCTGCCCATGAAATTAATGAAGTCATTTTCTATACTCTTGATATGATGATAGAGTCTTATACTCTTGAGAGTTCCAGGGCACCAACCTGTGGCTGCCCTGTTCACACTGAGGGGCCTTCCTTTCCTTTACTCTTCCCAGACTTCCGGTACTGCTCAAAAGGGCCATAAAGGCGGCTGGGATTGGGCCCTGACGTGAATGAAGGCCGCGTTACCAGAAGACCCCCGGGATCCAGTGTTCCGAGACCGCCGAACCACTGAGGAGAAATGAACAGAAGTCAAGCCCCCAGCGCCAGTGTTGTGTTAAGTCTGCGCTTGCGCTAGAACCACCGCTCCCAGGATCCTTCGCGGCCAGGTCGCTTCCCGTTTCGGGCCCCGGTCGTGGAATTCCGGCGAACCTGAAAGGAATGTGAACCAAGCATGACGGAAAAGGGATTCCGGGAGCAGGAACAGGCGGAGCCTCTCTGGGAAGGATGGTTCACAAGGGTGTGCGGGTCACAAACCTGGCACCGAGAAAGAAAAACGTTCTGGTCAGGAGCTGGGCCCGGAGACTTCTGGGAAGTGGAGTCCGTTGGGGCGGGGAAGTCCGTACGCATGGCCGGAAGTGACGGTATTCGAGCGCGTCCTCTTTGGCGCGCGAGCTGGGCCTGGCCTTTGGCAGTGCCTGCGGCTGAGGCTTCTGAGCTGCGACAGATAGCCGGGAGCGTTCTCGGGTAGCCGGGAGCGACTTTTTCCACGCCTCATTCTGCTTGAGACCCAGTCGGTGGTTGCGCCACGGGCTCCCCAGCCGCGAGGCCTGGCTGCCGCTGGGGAGACAGAGACCCGACTGGACACGCGCGACCGGAGTTCCCAGGGCCAGACCCGGGGTCTGACGGCAGAAGCAGGAGGGAAGAGTCCTGCCTGGAGCGGGCACCGCAGGCCCGCAGAGCGCGACTGGGGCTCAGAGGACTGCTGGGAGGCGGTGGCGCGAGGTGGCGTCCAAATGCTGGAGGAAGGAGGTGAGAAGGAGGGGTGGAGGGAGCGGCTTGCGGGAGATGCGGCTTCTTGTTCCAGCTTGCCCACTAACACCGCTGTGTGACCGGGACCAGAACTCTGCGCTTATGCTTTCCACACGGGGTTGGTTTGGATCCTTTTTTGAGCAAAGAATTTAGGGTGAGGAAAGTTGGAGGCGCACAGGCCTGGATAAACCCTGCTTTCCCCGATCTGCTTGATGCACCATTGGCATTTGAAAGTCGAAGTAAATGGTCCCTGGGAAGGAAAATGGGACAACCCAGTGTTTCCTGTTGTTTCTGGTCTTCCAGCCGTTCTTGAAGCAGCCAGATATTCTCAGAACAGGAGCCTAGTTGCTCTACAGGAGATTGAGGGCCTATTCAACCCAGTTGGTCTGTGAAGTCGGAGAGGATACTGGAGATGTGGAATCAGACGGCCAGCGTTCCTGTTTAAGCACCGGGGTACTGGTTAGGGCTTTTAACCTGCGTTTCTTCTGGAGGGAAGCCTAAAATAACGTTAACTACCTTGTTTGCGTCTAAAAACCGAGCATCAGATAACGTTCTTGAAAGCACCTTGAGCAATTTATACAACAGAACAAACGTGTGGGTAACTACCGAGGCCTGTACCATCCTCCCGTATAGATCAAGGGGTCCCCGTATTGGTCTGTAATTTTTCAAGTGCAAGTTTGGCATTTTGGATTCTCTTCCCCCAGAGACCTGGGGACAGCAACAGGATGATTATCCTCCTCTTGGTACCACCAGAGAGGACATTAAGGTCCAATGGAGTTGGGTACCATTTAGTAACATAAAGTCTGTACTAAAACCAATATCCAGGCCTGTGTACTACTTTTTAATGTGTACAATAAAGTGGCTTTTAGTTTGCCAGGTTGTGCAACCACCACCACTACTTAATTCCAGAACATTTTTATCACCCCCCAAAGAAGCCCATACCCATTAGCCACCGCTCCTCATTCCCTCTTCTCCCAGTCTCTATGGATTTTTACTTTCTGTTCCTGTAGATTTGCCTCTTCTGGATGTTTCATAAAAATAGAATCATACAGGGACACCTGGGTGGCTCAGTCTCAAGTGTCCAGCTCTTGATTTCAGCTCAGGTTCATGAGATGTGGCCCCAAATCAGGCTCTGCACCTCTGCACTGACAGCGTGGACCCTCTGTCTCTCTGCACCTCCCCTGCGTGCGGTCTCTCTCTCTCTCTCTCTCTCTCTCAAAATAAACAAACTTTAAAAGGACAAAAAAAAAATCCTACAATATATATGTCTGGCTTCTTTCACTTAGAATACTATGTTTCAGGGATCACCTGTGTTGTAACATGAATGAATGTACTTCATGCCTTTTTATGGCTGATATTTCATTTTGTTGCTAGACGACATTTTGTTCCTCACTATCAGCTCTTATGAATAATGCTGCTATGACAACATGTGCCCGAGTTTTTGTGTGAATGTGTATATCTAGGAGAGGAACTGCCGGGTCATATGGGAACTCTGTTTAACTTTCTGAGGAACTGCCAAACCGTTTTCCACAGTGGCTGTACGGTCCCGGTAGCAAAGTTTGAGAGTTCTAGTTTCTCCACATCCTCATCAACACTCGTTTTCCATCTTTTTTATTGTAGCCATCTTAGTGGGTATGAGGCATCTCATAATGGTTTGATAGGCGTTTCTCAAATGACTAGCGACTTTGAGTATATTTTCATGTACTTATTGGCTGTTCGTATATCTTGCTGAAAGAAACATCTATTCATATCCTTTGCCCACCTTTTAATTGAGCTATTTGTCTTTTTATTGTTGAAGTGTAAGAATTCTTTAAATATTCTGGATACTAGACCTTTAGAAGATAAATGATTTACAGATACTTTTCTGCCATTCTGTGCCTATCTTTTTTACTTTCTTGCTAGTGCCTTTTGAAGCACAAGTTTTTAATTTTGGTGAAATTCAGTTTATTTTTTCTTCTGTTGCTTGTGCTTTTGGTGTCATGTCTATGAAACCGTTGCCTCATCAGAGGTACTAAAGATTTATTTATTTATTTTATATTTTTAAATGTTTACTTATTACTGAGAGAGCATAAGCAGGGGAGGGGCAGAGAAGGGGAGACACAGAATCCAAAGCAGGCTCCAGGCTCTGAGCTGTCAGCACAGAGCCCAACTCGGGGCTCGAACCCACGAACCATGAGATCATGACCTGAGCCAACGTTGGACGTTTAACCAACTGAGCCACCCAGGCACCTCCCCAGCACCATCTTTTTGAAGATTAATCTTTCCCTACTTACTTTCTTGGCACTCTTTTTGAAAATCAATTATCCACAAATACATGGATCTATTTCCGGATTCTTGGTTCTTCTCCATTGATTTATATTTCTATCCTCAAACTAGGACCACACTCCTTAATTACTCTTGCTTTGTAGATTTTGACAGTGTGAATATGAGTTCTCCAGTTTTGTTCTTTTTCCAGATTGTTTGGCTCTTCTGGGCCATTTGCATTTCTAGATGAATTTTAGGATCAGCTTAATCGGTTTCTATTAAAAAGTCCTCTGGGATTTTGCGTAATTCTGTAGGGACTGCATAATTCTTTAGATTAGTGTGGTGAGTATTGCCATCGCAGCATTGTTGTCTTCCAATCCATGAATCCATGGGGATTCTTTCCATTTATTTCAATCGTCCATAATTTCAACAGTGTTTGGTAACTTTTAGTGTGTGTGTCTTACATTTCCATTGTTAAATTTATTCCGAAGTGTTTTAGTCTTTTAATGCTCTTGCAAATGGAATCGTTTTCTTTAATTTCACTTTTGGATTATACATTGCTAGTGTATCTATTTAAATCTTCTGCCCATTTTTAATTGGGTTACCTTTTTATTGTATCCCCATCTTGGATCTTGCAACCTTGCTGAACTGGTTTAGCTGTCATAGGTTTTTTTTTGTTTTGCTTTTGTGGGTTCCTTAGGATTTATTTTTTTCGTTTTCTTTCTAAATAGCAGGGCTATTTTATTTTATTATTTACTTCTTTTTTAGGTAGGCTCCATACCTAATGGGCTTCAACTACAACCCTGAGATCTAGAGTCCCATTCTCTACTGACTTAAACAGCCAGGTACCCTTCCTCAGCATTTTCTGTATACAAAATCGTATCTACAAATACTGATAATTTCATTTCTTCCTTTCCAATCTGGATGCCTTTTTTTTTTTCTCCCCCAGCCCTTCCTAATGTCCCTGGCTAGACCCTCCAGTATAATACTGGATAGAAGTGGTGAGAGCAGATATCCTTGTCTTGATCATAGAAGAATGTTTCAGCCTTTCACCATTAAGTATGATGTAAATCTGGATTTTCTGTAGTTGCCTTTTATCAAATTGAAGATGTTCTCTGCTCTTTCTGGTTTATTGAGTGTGTCTTATCAGGAAAGGGTATCAGATTTTGCATAATGGCCTTTTTGGTGTTTATTGAAATGATCTATGTGGGTCTTTGACTTTTTATTACCTGTGGTATATTATGTTGATTGATTTTCATATGTTGAGTCATTCTTGCATTCCTGGGATGAATTCCACTCGATCATTATCTCTTTTGATTTGGTAACTGTCTGAAACCTGCGGAGCACTTTTTCCCAGCGAACTGAGCAGTAGGTGATAATTGTCAACTGTGTGCTTACCTGCTAGGCATTGTGCTAGCTGCTTTGTCCGCATTTTTCTTTCATCTTCACAGCATCTTTACAAAGGATCGTCATCCATGGGGCACCTGGGGGGCTCAGTTGGTTATGCGTCCCACTTCGGCTCAAGTCATGATCTCACTGTTCCCAAGTTCAACCCCCGCATCAGGCTCTGTGTTGACAGCTCAGAGCCTGGAGCCTGCTTCATATTCTCTGTCTCCTCTCTCTCTGTTCCTCCACCACTCACACTCTGTCTCTCAAAAATAAACATCTTAAAAAATTTTTTTAAAAACACAAAGGATCATCATCCTCATTTATAGGTGAAAAAAATGAGCCGTAGAAAGGGTGTGTGACTAGCACGCTGCTGGTAAGTAGTGGACTTCCCCTTCTTGAGTCTGTTACACTCATAACTCCCTGCATCTGAGTGAATTGATGGGGTTTCTGAGGTAGGAGGGGCAATGGGAAATTTACATTCCCCTGCAGGTCTGCGCATTCAGTCCGAGTGCCCCAGACCCTGCGGTGTCCTTTGAACCCCCTTTGGAGCGCGAATGTGAGACTTTCTAGCTTGGGGAGCTATAACTTTTAAGCCTTATTGGTTTCTTTCCCTTCCTCCAGAGCCGCCTTCCCCAGACCCTGGCCTTCCACCCGAGGAAACCACGGGACATGAAGGCATGGCAGCTGGTCTCCTCTCAGCTGGGACCCACGTAAGTTTGAAATTTGCTCTGAGAGGCAGCCTCATTTTCTTTCTTTCTTCCTTCCTTCCTTCCATCTTTCTTTCTTTCTTTCTTTCTTCCTTTCTTTCTTTCTTTCAAATACTAAGAGGTTTTTGTTTCTGTTGGTTAATTACGAAAGGAATTCATGTTTCTTGTAGAAAACCTGAAAAACACAGAAAACACACCCAAAAACTCACCCTTTTTCCCACAGAGAATTAAAACACTTAACGTTTTCATTTGCGTCCTTTCAGGCATATTCTTCCTTTCCTTTTCTTTTTTTAAGTTTTTAAAGATGTGTGTGTGTGTGTGTGTGTGTGTGTGTGTGTGTGTGTGTTGTTCTTTTGTTTCTTTTTTTGAAAGGGTGAGATCAGACAGGGGAGAGGCCGAGAGAGAGGGAGAGAGAGAATCCCAATCTCATGAATTGTGAGATCCTGACTTAGGTCGAGATCAAAGTTCGTTGCTTAACTGACTGAGCCACCCAGGTGCTCCAGGATTTTATTTTTAAGTAAGCTCTACACCCAACTTGGGGCCCAAACTCACAATCCCGAGATGAAAAGTCACTTGCTTTACCGGCTGAGCCAGCCATATGCCCCCATGAGTCTCCCTCTTCTACTTTCCCAAAATGGGTTTGTCCTGCTTTATAACTTTCTTTTTATTTCCACGTCACAGAATTTGATCAGTATTTCTCCGTTTCGTTAAGAGTGTTCTACAGAATCATTCCTAGCGTATTCCATCGCATAGTTCTTCTACCAGGGTAGGAACTGCCTTCTCTTTTTACTTGACTAGACTGGGTAATGGTCTGTTTCTTTTCCTTAGAAAGTCTGCTCTTGGATATTCTTATCAGTTCTCTTAATAACAGATTTTTCTTTCTCAGGTTTTTGCTTTCACTTGTCAGATTTATTTTTCAAATTGACCTTTTAACCTTTAACCTCTTAAGTCAAATTTCTAATTTGCTTCTTCTTTTCTTGTTGGTAGTGAAAGCGGTTGGCTGTGGGTCCTATTTTCTTAGATATTCCAGAATTGTCACTTTGATTTCTGTCTGCCCATTCAGCTGGTCTGTGTTCCACAAGGACAGTGTTTGTCTTTTGTCACCCCATGACACACAGGTATAGTGTAATTGCAGAGCGGAGGGTGTGATGGCTCAGCTCAGTTAGCAATTATTAAATTGCTCAGTTATTCCATCGCTCTGTTTTGTTGTTTATTTTGTATTAACCCTGCTAACGCCCGAGTTCTTGTAACATCTCGTAGCTGTAGTATCTTACGTTTGTTCTTGTATTTCCTACGGTATTTTTTTCTTTATGAATTTCACATGGTTATTTCTAGTTCGTGAGAGTTACATCTTTATGGTGATTTTACTTTTCTTGACCATTATAAAATGACCCAAATGTTTTAAATATTTCATAGGTTTAAAAAATGACCCTCTTTGTCCTATGTAGTGCATTTCTCAGTATGAAAGATGGGGTTGGGAGAACAGGTAAAACCAGAGGTCAAGAGATGTATTGTACTTTGGAAAATGATGCTGGCTTCGGATAAGGCAGCGACGGCGCCGCGAAGAGAAATGTGGGAGCTTTAGAGACCCTGGTGGGAGGGCGGGGAGGGCAGTGAAGATGGAAGGCAGTGAAGACGCGGGGAGTTGCTGCGGGGACGGGGAAGATGGACACACAGGGTCCTGGCATGGCCCACGAGGTAGATGCGGGTGCCTTACTTGTGCTGAAAACAGACGCGAGGACTTCCTCGCCTCCATTCCTTTGCTCATGGTGCCTCACCACCTCCTCTTTCTCCCTCCTCCAAGCCCGCTCAGCAGTCCCCTCCTCTCTGTGGTCTTCCCGCGCCCTCCACCCAGGATTCCTTCTCCGTTATCCTGGCCCCTGGTCTGTCCACGTTTCTGACACGCTACTACAGGTGGCCACAGACACATCTGGTTTTCCTTTTGTACCGTGTGATGTCCAAGTTCACAGGGACGTTTATCACATGTTCTGAAGAACTGACCTTTCACAGTTCTTTCTGATTTCTCATTGCGTAAACATATATGTTCAATTTTTGTTTTTTCTACATTGTCTCTTTCAGTTCCCAAGCACCTGTTTCTTCCCAGCTACTTGTTTTATGTAGAAACAGATGTATATGCGCTCTGTTTATATACAGAGTCTGTCAGAGTTGTAAACGTGCAAAGAGACTGTATTTGATTTATTTTTGTGTGTCAGTATCCAGTATAGTGAGAAGCACATAGGAAGTGATCAGTAAATGTTTTTCTTAAACTACCCAGGGCTGCCTTCTATCCTAAGGCCACTGGGCGAGCAGGAATGTGCTTGTTGTTTGGGGCGCCTGGGTGGCTCAGTCAGTTGAGCATCTGACTTCGACTCAGGTCATTATCCTGAGGTTTGTGAGTTCGAGCCCCACTGCAGGCTTTTTGCTGACAGCTCAGAGCCTGGAGCCTGTTTTAGATTCTGTCTCCCTCTCTTTCTATGCCCCTCCCCAGCTTGCACTCTGTCTCTGTCAAAAAATAAATAAATGTTAAAGGAATGTGCTTGTTGTTTCAGGGATCCATGCCCTTCAGCAGTGTGACTGTAGCTTTTACCCAGGATGGGTGGAGGCACTTGATCCCTGCTCCTAGGGACAGGTTCAAGGAGGGGATCCCAGAAAACACCAGGAACTTGGTCCTGCTGGGTAAGGAAACCATTTGAAATTTAGAATCTACTCCGTTCTGAAAATCTGTGGCACTTTCTAGTATTGAGTGGCACTTTCCAATTTACTGACGCACAAGAGGGATAGTGTTTATTCCTCGTGGTTCCCTCGTGTAAGGTCTCTGCATTCCAGGTTGGGAAATAGGCAGTTTCATTTTGTTCCCGTGAGACTGCACCTCCCTGTTTTCTTACTTCCCAGGAGGGTTCCCAGGAACAGTAAGTTCCTGTCTTTCTTAATAACTGGCTTTGGGGGCTTAACTTCACTCCCCGACTTGACCCCTCCTTGGCACTGTGTGCATCCCTCTGTGCCTGGCACCAAGTAAGTGCTCAATACATCCTTACTGAGTGAATGAAATAAATGACCTGACTAGTGTGTTTCCACTCTCCTGAGTTCTGGGTGGCTATGTATACTTAATCTAAACCTCTAAAGCCCATTTTCCCCCTTGAATAGGACTTCCAGTTTCCCAGCCTGGCATGAACTCCCAGTTGGAACAAAGGGAAGAAGGCCCATGGATGCTGGAGGGAGGAGGCTTGAGGAGCACCTGTCCTGGTGAGTGAGCACGCACCGAAGTCCATGTGTTTGGGGAGCAAAAGCCCTTTGGAAGTGCATTTGGTTTGGTTATTTTAACAATCCCATGAGGTAGACATTATTATCCCCATTATACAGATGAGGAAATTAAATCTGATAGAGACCAATTATCAGAGCCTCACAGCTAGAAAGTGGCATGGCTGGGGTTTGAAGCGAGGCCTGTCTGACTGCAAAGCCCACTATTCCACATCTCCTCCTCACTAAGTTCCCTGGGGTGGGAGATACCTTCGACCGCAGGTGGTGTTGCTGGGCTCTAGGAGAATGAAGTCATCATTGCTGGCCAGCACTTTCTCTGCTTTGGGTTCATCTCAGTGAGGCTCTCCCCTACCTTCAACTGTGATACCTACGTTTATCTCTCTCTGGTCCTTAATTGGATGCCTCCCTCTCCCTGCTTCCCTCCCCACCTTCTCCCTGTCTGCATGACCATGCTAGAATTTCATAGAGAGCTTATACTGAGAACCTTAGGAAAAACAAAAGGAAAGCTGTATCTTCCTTGTTTATCTCTTGCTCCTCATCCACAGCTGCTCACTCCACCCCTACCTTCAGGCTCCAGCCCTCACTGTTACCCCAACCACTACTCAAACTTGCTGAGATCTTTCCTTTACAGGGAGCCTCAGTGCTCCTGCCCCTCCCGTTGCTCAAGTCCCTCTGCTGCCCAGCACCTTACCTGTTAGGCGGGGCCTTTTCTCCTGGGCTGTCTCCCCTGTGTAGAACTTCCGAAATTGAATGTGGTGTTCCATCATTAGGTAAGGCGATAGCTGCATTTTTCTGGAAGAAGGTTTCATCACAGCCTCAGAGAGTTTCAAGAGCCTAGAGAGGTCAGATCACCATGTTACTAGAAATAGAACTTGAGGGATGCCTGGGTGGCTCAGTCAGTTAAGCGTCCAACTTGAGCTCAGGTTATGATCTCAGAGTCCATGGGTTCAAGCCCTGTATCAGGCACTATGCTTATAGTTCGGAGCCTAGAGCCTGCTTCGGATCCTGTGTCTCCTTGTCTCTCTCCCACTCCCCTGATTGCACTCGCTTGCTCTCTCTCAAAAATAAACATTTAAAAAAAAAATAGAACTTCGGAAAGGGTGTTAGCACCAAGCATCCATGCTCTGAGGTATCACAGTACTAGTGTAGAAACAGGAAAGCCAGGCAAGTCCTGGCTTACTACTTAGAAATTACATGGATTCAGAGTAAACTGTTAGTTATGTGGTTGCTTGTTTCTCTGCCTAAAAAATCTAAATAACAAAATGTTATTTCACAAACTAATATGCATGAAAAAGGAAGTTCTCAACTATGGAGTGCTGTATTAGCCTTATGGTCATGAAGCAGTTTGAGAAAAGTTGAAGTCTGGCTACTAGAGTGACAAGTAGCCTGCTCCGTGGTGTGGCACCTCTGCTCTGAGTCACAGCGCCTCCTGGGCGTTGCTCCCCTCCACGGGCTGGCTTCAGAGCCCTCGTAGTCCCATCCTAGCCCTCCCGCAGCGGCAGAGCCAGGTCTTTAAAGTACCTTTCGCCTCACTGCCTGCTCTAGGGATTTCCGTTGTGCATGTTGACATTTCCCCAGGCACAGCCGGTTAGTTTGCCACATGCTCATTGGATTTGTTATTCAGTCAGCAAATTTGCATTAAACATTCGGTAAATGCCTGGAATGGTTTTAGCTACTGAAAGTACAAGAGAAAACGAAGATACAGTCTCTGCACGCATCCTAGTGAGATATGAGTAAACCAAGTGACGTGTAATACCGGATAGTGATGAGCCCTGTGAAGGAGCCAAAAGCAGGATAAGGGAGTAGTGACTGGGGTGTGAAGGTGAGAACAGGAATACAGATGGAAGGGGGCCGCTGTTGTAGGTCAGACGACTAGGAAAGACCACTTGGAGGAGGTGACATTAGAGCCGAGGTCTCAAGGAAGAGAGTGAGCCAGCCGTGTGAGTGTCTGGGGGACGAACATTCTGGGACACAGCATGTTTTGAAGCTGTTGGAGATGGGCTTGACTTGTATTAAGGTCAGAAGACCCTGGGCCTCAGGAAATGGGGGGAGAGTGGTAGGCGGGGGACAGATAGGGCTTTGGAGGCCATGCTGTGACATCCAGATTTTATCGACATAAGCCATTGAGGGTTTTGAGCAGGGAGGGGACAGTACTTGATTTGTGTTTGAAAATTGTATGTGGAGGGTTCAAGAGTAGGAGCAGGGAGATGAGTTAGGAGTCTCTTGTAGACATTCCAGGGTGAGAGGGTGGCGGCTGGTAGGAAGGATTCAGGACATATGTGGGTGTTAAAGCCAACAGGACTTGCTAGTGAATTGGATGTGAGCGGGCAGGGGCATTAAGGATGACCCTGACCTGAGCAGAGCAGGTAAACAGGAAGACCGACAAAGACACTGGCTCGAAAGGGACAATCAGTTGTTCTGTTTTTGGGGCACATTCGGACATCTTTAGTCTCCTACAGGAGCCACTACCCCGGGCAGTTGCAGACTGAGGTAGAATGATCCATGAGCATCTCGTGGTCTCCTGCACTGCCCCGTCTCCCTCTGCTGCTGTTCTTGGCACTTTTCCTCCTTTCCACCTTTCCTCAGATAGATGGTGGGGTTTTAAGAGCTGTCATAGCTACACATAATCAAATACTGATTTACATGGAGATGCCCTCAATCCGAAATGGGGCTGCTGTGCTCTTGGTAGATTGGGCATTAGTATGCTCATGTGCCCTGGAGGGAAACCATTTAAGGGAGTTTACAAAGAAGACGTCTAAGATAATAACAAGCACTCATATAACATTTAACTGTCCCTCGTGTGTTGCAAGCACTCATATAACATTTAACTGTCCCTCGTGTGTTGTAACTCATTTAATCCTCATGGTAATTTTGCAAGAGCTACATTTATAACTAGTGAACCCAAGAAATGGAAAGATTAAATAGTCTGCCCACAGTCACAAAGCTAGTGAGAAGCAGAGCTGGACTTAAACCCCAGCAGTTTGGGTCAGGATTCTCTATAGAAATTCAAATAGGGGCTCTTATTCAAATAAGGGCTCAGTCTGTTGAGTGTCTGGTTCTTGAATTCAGCTCAGGTCATGATCTTATAGTTTTGTGGGTTCAAGACCCACGTCAGGCTCTGCAATGATAGCACAGAGTCTGTTTGGGATTCCTTCTCTCAAAAAACAAAACAAAACAAAATTCAAATATAAGTCACCCAGAACCGACCTTGTTATTCTGTCCTCTGAGAGGGTAGAAACCCAAAGAGTTGTCAGGAGAATTGAGCCTTGTGAAAAGCAGCTCCGTAGCCCCCCCAAAAGTCCACCCCCTTATGTGCAAGGCCCCGTGTAGGACACAGGTGTGTGGGACCCTGTGCTTCAGGTCCCAAATATACATTACTCACATTTTAGAGTTTTCTCTTAAAATGAGGGAGAGCCAAAGGTTAAGAATCATTAACTCTTTAAAAGATATCTGTCTCAGGGCGCCTTGGTGGTTCGGTTGGTTAAGCGTCTGTCTCTTGGTTTTGCTTGGGTCATAATCTCATGGCTTCATGGGTTTGGGCCCCACATTGGCTCTGTGCTGCCAGCATGGAGCCTGCTTGGGATTCTCTCTCTTCCTTCCTAGCTGCCCTTCCCCCACTCATGCTGTCTGTCTCTCTCAAAATAAACTTAGAAAAATTTCTTTTTAATATCTACTTTCTGATTATAAAAGCAATGCTGTTTATTCTATTTAAAATAACTTTTTTCAGGGTATCTGAGGGGCTCATTCGGTTGAGCATTCAACTCTTGACTTTGGGTCAGGTCATGATCCTTATATCGGGTTCTGCATTGAACACGGAGCCTATTTAAGATTCTCTCTTTCCCTCTACTGCTCTCCCCCACTAGCACACTTACATTATTTTTCTAAAAACAATAAAATAACTATTTTCTGGTAAAAATATGTTAATTTGAGATTTGGCAAAGGATAAGAAAAAAACCCAAGTTCCCCTATCCTCCCACCACACAGAGCTGCCTCCATCTTCTTCATATAACAAAATGCAATAATACTTTTTTCTGAGGTTGATTTACGTGGTCTGAGTATATGCTGAATATAACTTACAGGGTCTTTTTTAAATCACTGCATATTCTCTGAGGTGGTTTTTGTGACTTTTATTGTAACACTAACATTAGAGAACATTAGAAAATACAGGCAAACACTGAAGGAAATAAAAATTGCTCCTGATCCCACAACCCAAAGATAACGCAGGTTACATTCACATTGTATATATTTCCAGTGTTTTCTCAATACCTTTCTGCAAAAGGTACTATAGTGTACCTATTCCAAACGTGACCTTTGATTGCTAAGTAGTGTCCCTCAATTGGCTGTACTATCATCATTCCTTTATTGAAAGGTGTTTGCTTTTCTTTGACAAATGATGGTGTGAGCAACTTTGTCAACACAGCTTTGTGTAGTTTCTCATTAGTTCCTTAGGATAGATTCTTACAAGTGCAGTTCCAATGTCAACATTTTAAAGACTCTTGACACAACCAGATTGCTCTCCAGAAAGGCTGTCCCAGTTCATGCGATCACACCAGTGGGTAAGATCTCATGATGCTGCACCCTTGCCAACACTCTAGGATTAGCCAGATTTTGAGATTTGATAGGTGAAAAAGTTTCATCTTGCTGGCATTGGTCATCAGCTTTTTTTTCCTTTTTTTTTTTAATTTCAAGTTTATTTTGTGAGAGAAAGAGAGAGCACAGTGAGGGAGGAACAGAGGGGGAGAGAGAACCTGAAGCAGGCTCTGCACCGTCAGCACAGAGCCCACACGAGCCTCAAACCTGCAAACCGTGAGATCATGACCTGAGCCTAAATCAAGAGTCAGATGCTTAACTGACTGAGCCACCCAGGTGCCCCGATCATCAGCTTCTTAAAGTAAGTTTGGTAAGCAGATTGCCAAAACCACACCAAGAATTGTGAGACTAAGAAGACACATGGACATTGCCCAGTATTTGGCCAAAGCAGAGGAAAGGGTCAGAAATAAGGGAGCCTTACATCTGAGGAGGGTAAAACTTCTCTATATCCCTTTGCACTTTAGGAAAGGGAATAAAGCGGGTTTATGTATCTGAAGAGCCATCTTGGTCAATGTTTTACAGTTTGGAACAGAAATGTGAGGTGTGTTCTGGTTGAAAGGGGTAGAGCATCAGACCTGTCTGCCGAAGAGCTCGGGCAAAGCCCATCAGCCTTTGTATTCCAGTAGGACCTTTGCTTCCACCAAACTGGAAAAATGGTTTTCTAAATATTTTTCAGACTGGAAGATTATGTCTGAATCACCACCCGAGCAAGACATTTCTGAAAATTCATTCCAAGACACAAGTAGAGAGATGCCCCCTGGGGAGTCAGACCCCAGGAACAGTGAACTGGGGAAGAGCTGCAACCTGAGACCAGTCCTTTCTCCACAACAGAGGGTTCCTACAGAAGTGAGGCCCCGGAAATGGGAAGCACATACGAAGAGCTTCAGGAAGAATTCAGATAGAATGAAGCCTCACAGAGCCAAGCCATATACGTGCAGCGAATGCGGCAAAGCCTTCAGTTACTGCTCTTCCCTGTCTCAGCACCAGAAGAGTCACACCGGGGAGAAACCCTATGAGTGTAATGAGTGTGGGAAGGCTTTCAGCCAGAGCTCATCTCTCATTCAGCACCAGAGGATTCACACCGGGGAGAAGCCTTACAAATGCAACCAATGTGGAAGGGCCTTCAGCCAGAATGCCAACCTCACAAAACACCAGCGAACCCACACTGGAGAAAAGCCCTACAGATGCAGCGCGTGCGAGAAGGCCTTCAGTGACTGCTCAGCCCTCGTCCAGCATCAGAGAATCCACACGGGAGAGAAGCCCTACGAGTGCAGCGACTGCGGAAAGGCCTTCCGCCACAGTGCGAACCTCACCAACCACCAGAGGACGCACACAGGGGAGAAGCCGTACGAGTGCAGGGAGTGCGGGAAGGCCTTCAGTTACTGTGCCGCGTTCATTCAGCATCAGAGAATCCACACGGGGGAGAAACCCTACAAGTGTGGCGCGTGCGGGAAGGCCTTCAGCCAGAGTGCAAACCTCACAAACCACCAGAGGACTCACACGGGAGAGAAACCCTACAAGTGCAGCGAGTGTGGGAAGGCCTTCAGCCAAAGTACAAACCTCATAATCCACCAGAAGACCCACACCGGGGAGAAGCCCTATAAATGTAACGAGTGTGGGAAGTTTTTCAGCGAGAGCTCAGCCCTTATTCGACATCACATCATTCACACAGGAGAAAAACCCTATGAGTGCAATGAGTGTGGGAAGGCGTTTAACCAGAGCTCCTCCCTAAGTCAGCATCAGAGAATTCACACTGGTGTGAAACCCTATGAATGTGCTGAGTGCGGAAAGGCCTTCCGGTGTAGTTCAGCTTTCATTAGACACCAGAGACTCCATGCTGGGGAGTGAGCAGAAAGTGGGTGGGGACCCGACAGGCATAGCAGGTAGCTTGAAAACCTCTGGAGACGAGGACTTCCATAGCCTGTAGCTCAGAGCCACATGCAAAAGCACCTTTAATAAATAGTCCCTATTTTATAGGTTGTATGTGGAAGGTGTCAAGGACCCTTTTCTCCTCAGGAAGCATAAACTACCGAATTCAAATTACAAGAGTTTGAGCCAGAGTGGAGTATACAGAGCACTGCAGAAACCTTAGTTTATAGGGAGTAAGTGAACAGTGAATGAAGGACTCCTGAGGAAGGAAGTTCCTTCCTAAAGGCTATTTGGTGAGGGTTCTCTCTGCGTGACTAAGGACAAAAGAACACACAACAGGAATGAACAGTTTCTCCATAACAGGGGAGTAATTCAAGTGAGGAAAGGTTGATGCCCACGATGTGCTAGTCTCACTGGGGGTAAGGGAAGAGATTAGTGTTCAAGACACTGATAGGCCCTATCTATCTAGTTATAGTGTTGGCTACTATTTAAAAATACCCAGAGGGGAGAATGGAAGCTAGTCCAATCCCCTCAGCAAGGCACCTCCCTTTCTATGGGGACAAGAGACAACCTGAAGCCTACCATCTTCCCCCCGCTCACAGCCAGGCTGGTGGGTCCTGCACTTCTTCCTTCTCTTCCTAGAGAACAGTTCAGTTTCCTTTAGATCAAGATTTTCATTGTTGGCTTTTCTTCCTCCTCGAAAGGTCCTAGGTCTTTGACATATCCTCACTCAAGCAACATGATCTCATCTCTGCATTTATGAACTCGAGGTTTGGGGTTAGGGAAGCATTGACTTCAGGATCAGCCTTGGCCCCCAACACCCAGGGCCTCTAGCTGATGTTTCTTGGGACTTGGCACAGGTCCTCAGGTAATCTTTTCACTAAAGGCAGCTCTCCAACCCTGCTTGTACCTGGTACGACTAAAATCCACCTATTTTGGGGGCCCCTGGGTGGCTCAGTTGGTTAAGCATCTGACTTCAGCTCAGGTCATGATCTCGCAGTTTGTGAGTTCGAGTCCCATGTCGGGCTCTGTGCTGCCAGCTCAGAGCCTGGAGCCTGCTTTGGATTGTCTCCCTCTCTCTGCCCCTCCCCTGTTCACACTCTGTCCCTCTCTCTCAAAAATAAGCAAACATTAAAAATTATTCATAACCCCCTTTAGGTTAGTGCCCAGAAGCCCCTCCAAGCTGCTCAGCTGTAGCCTGCCCCAGTACCCAACTATATCATCCATTCCTTCACTCACCATACACTAAGAGTCGTGAGCTCAAGTCAAAAGGAGCCAAACTAAGGAAAGAGGACAGAGACTCAGGAAAGGCAAAAAACTTGCCATTAGAAAATGACCCTTAAGGACTTAAAAGATCAGGTTCCTTGGTTTCCCATCAGTGCTTCTGAGCCCTGGCTAGAATGGACAGTGAAGCCTTGTAGTGAGGGCTGTGGTCCCCTAACATATTCAAGAATTAAACTGGTCTGGGATAGAGTTTCCCAACCATTTCATACTGAGGTAGAAGTTTTCTTTCTGGTCAAGAATTTTGCTCCAATGAATTCTATGAGTTCTATGAATACATGTAGCCACAAACAGCACAGAGACTTCTTTTCTAGAGGCCTTCTCTGAACCAGTCCCATACAGGGCAACAATCTGACCCACAAGGAGCCTGTTACCTAAATTGCTACTTTCTCCAGAGGTTCTGCCACCGTGACCCTACTAACCACCATTTGACCACAAAAGAACGAGGTCCCCCAAGAAGAGGCTGTATCAAAAGGTCCACTGGTTGTCAAATGATCCTTTATTAAAATATTTTCCTTTGTAGTTCTTAACTCTGTGGGAAAGAAAAAAGAAAACCTATCAGTTAGTGGAACAAAAAATTCTCAATAGCCCAAACCCATTATTGACCATTTCTAGAACCTTTCCAGCCCATCTCCACAAATACTACTTCAGCTTTCCTCCAGCTCTCACCCTGACTTAGGCAAGTAAAACAGAAGTCACTTACAGCCGGGCATTCTACTGCACCACTATTGATGTCATCTATGATGTCATGAGGGTGGCGGCCATCAACATTGCAGCCTACAGACTGGGCGGTCCCCAGAATCTCTTTAATGGTCCCTATAATTAAGAAAAGTGGCATTAGAGGGGCTTCAGCAATCCTCAGTCACCCAAAGGGAAATACTTTTTCACATCAGTAAGGAGAAATTAGCCCTCTATTTTATGGAGTAACATCCCTGCTCCTCTAAAATTCAGAACTCCACTTACATAAGCTGTACACAAGCTCTGCATGCAAACGTTCCATGGATTCTGACACCCAGATTAAACAGTCGGCACAAATATTCACTGATACCAAGTCATTCTTCAAACCCACAAGACCCTGCACCCCAACTGCAGGTCTTACAGAGTAATGTCCCTTTAAGTTGGGAAATGCTACCACTCAGTGAATACACCCCATATAACAAGATGGCTCCCTGTTGTTCACTTACCAGAGAGCTCTCTGGCTAATGATCGGTGCCGCATCTGTCGGGCAATGTTGACAATCTCATCAAAAGTGATATTTCCACTGTGCTTAACTACAGAGAGAAACAGCAAAAGCTTTGTCGCAACCCAAGGCCAGAGCACACCACAGGTACTCCCTTCATCTTTAATTTCAGGCTGTTCCCATGCTTTCGGCACAGAGTCATCCACATGAAGAACAACCCTGTTTCCTAAGCTGGGGTTTACTATCAGCTCACCACTGGATTGCACCAGCCAACAGAGAACTGATAGGGTGCAGTGGCGGGTGGCTGGGGTAAAATCAAGTCTGCTAATCTTAACGTGGAGGAGATGATCTTTTTACATGAAAAAAGACAAGTTGAAGTTACTGGGGTTAGTTAAGCTGTTCAGAGCATCTTCCAACTCAGAAATGGTCTGATTCCTGGACCTCTCACTGTCAAGTACTTTCCCCTACTATTTCCCCCTGCATACACTTTGGGTAGGTAGGGCCAGTCCCAGGCTAGGGATTGGGGAGAGCCACATGGCACTTCTTGGTAGCGCCTGGCTGTCTAACAGCTTCTGAGCAAATCCATGCCATCCCTAGGTTTTGTTTGTTAAAGCAAAAACACACAGCTAAGCATCACATTGGGTAGACGCCACCACACACAAATAACCAGGGAAAAGACCACTCACTGTTTTTCTGCTTCTTTCTGTCTCTCGGCGGTTCCTTCAGGGCTTTGATAATCAGGGCGGAGGCAGATGGTACCACTTCAATCTGCAGAAAGGTTTCTCCATGTGAATTAAGCCCTACTCCACCCTCCAATAAAAAAGGCCGATACTGCCATGCAACTTGGCTCTCAAAAAAACATGGGCCAGGCTGGGCTTGCTGTACACTGGCCAACTACTTTTCACAATCTAAAACATGTCCTACCCCTAGGAGACACTAAGTATTTGCCCAATGTCACACAAGCGACAACAGTTAACATTTGAGCCCGTATCTGCGCTTTGATCCATGCTCTCAAAAGAGCCTTCCCCACATTTAAAATTGCCCTCAGCTCACCACTGGGGCAGATGGCCATGTCAGCAAAAATCTTCCACCCAGGGATTCCAGAGGGTTGCTACCTCTGCCCTCCCCCTCAAAGCAAGTACCTGGGCCTGTCTGTTCTGAATGGTCAGTTTCACTGTAATCCTCAGACCCTTCCAATCACCGGTTGCCTTGGCGATGTCATCACCAACCTTTTTCGGAGACTATAGAAAGAAAGGGATACAATCACACTGTGGTCTTAAGTTGGAAGTACAGCCTGAAACCCTGCCCTATCCTTCTCCCTTGGCAACACCCAAGCCTTTATTCAACCCAGCACAGCACATTGGGGGGTAGGTGGGGGGGCCGGGGCCTGAAGCATGTAACTGCACCTAGCAAATCAAGGAATGGCTGTCAGTTGTATACACTGGAGAACTGCAGCTAGAGGGAAGTCTGCTTGGGGCTGTAAGCTGCAAACCCAACACCAAGTCCCTTACTTACCTACCTGCCTGTAAAGACCCACTTGGTATGATGTAAGGATTTTTAATACTGGTTACAGTCAAATCACCTGGACAGTTTTAAAGACCCCAGGTTTCTGTCAGACCAATGCAAGTCAGTGTGCAGGGACGGGGTCTGGACACTTGCTACGTAAGATTTCCTAATGACCACCAGCCTCAACAGGAAAGATACCCGGTGGGTGCCAGTTAAACTGAAAGTCAAGGAAAAGTAGGAAGATGCTGGTTAAGACAGACCACGCAAGAAACACGCTCAGGTCAGGAGACCAAGATCCAAGGAATAAATGCCTAATGATTCTCAGGGAAATGTATGCTCGGAAAAAGAATAAAAATAGACAAGTGGGTAAACAGGGCAGTCATCGGGAAAGCTGCTCACCGTATGAACAGGTTATGCAAGCTACTATATGAAGTTCACCAGGATCTTACCCCACGGCCCATTTCACCCTCCCAACCGATATTTAACCCATCAGTGCTCTACCCATTTCCCTGACCAGCAAACACGGGCTAAGGAGGCAGCCCAGTGTCACCAACCTACTCTAAGCCCTCACACAGACCTCTGGCCCATCCCTCAGGTACGCTAAGAGCAATTAAGAAACAGTGTAAGTTACAGCTTCAGAATAGCCTGTTCCAAGCTCCTCGATCGCCAGGCTACGGGAGCACTTCCAGGCCAGCGGCTCAGAGGCATAGGTGGGGCGGCCAACTCAACGTCAAAGGCACCTCAGATCCGCTGTTTGCACAAGCCCGAGCTGAACTGCCTTCCACCCGACAAGCTAAGAAACAGGCCTCCGCGAGGATGACTTACCAGACCCAGCGGGCCGATCTTCGGGGCCAGGGCAGACGTGGCACCGACTTCGCCGCCGGTGCACCTCAGGTATACTACAGAAAGACAAGACCAGCGGCGCTGCAGAGGGAGCCCCCGGGTCACAGCCTTCTCCCCCTATCTTTCCCGGGCTGGCCACGCCGCTTCGGTCTCTTCGGGACAGCGCCAGAGATTCAGCAGGGAGCGAGGAAGGCCACCCAACCCCCAGCGGACGAGCCGCCTCCTCCCTGGCGTGGACCCCTCCGGAAGCCACGTGGGACTGGGGCCTTCGGTTCAGCTCCGGCTACCGGGGCCCGCAATGGGCCGGCCGATGCAGTGGAGGGGGAAGCGCCCGGACACAAACCTTACCCTAGGGCGTGCGGGCTGCAAAGCCACCACGGGTCGTCCGGTCCTCCCTCCCCGTTTATACGTGGGGAAGTTGAGGCCCAGAAAGAGTGACAGACTCGACCAGGACCTCACAGCGCCCTGAACGCAGCACTGGAAAGGCCTCTAGCGGCAGCAGCTTTAAAGCCCGACGTGAAAACGGCAAGGGCGGCTGGGGCCGCGGGGCCGACGGGCTGCGGGGAGGAGGGATGCTCCATTTCGCAGCCCGAGCCACATCTAAAGCACGCACCGACTTTGATCTCGTTGGGGTCGAACTTAGGCGGCATGGTGGAGGCGGCTGGTGTCGGATGAACCCGGATTCGGGACGACCGAAGACTGTTGCACCGTCACCTCCTCCGAGCCGAAGCCAAAAGGCCGGAAGACTCACTGACTGCGCCGGATATAGGCAGGAAAGCACGACACTCGCGAGAACCATTAGCTCCGCCCAGCCTCCCAGCGACGCCCTTGCCGCCATGTTGCTTATGGGCAGGTGCCTGAGGCTGACGGCTGGAGAACCCCACTCCTCGGTGAGTTATGGCTAAGGGTTCGGGGAGGTTCGCCTCGAAGAGGCAGACACGAGAGGGCTGCTCTCGGGCCCCGCTGTCCGCCATTCTCCCTAATGGTGAGGTTCACCCTGTGGTTCCTGTCGTCCAGTCGCAAAGCCCCGCCCCTCTCCTAAGGTGTCCGCACACCCATTCCGAGACCCTAGGGCCATGGGGACCCCGGGCCCCCTTTTAGCTCTTTCGTGATGTGTGCATTTTGATTGTCAAAACAATTGTATTCGAGTCTAAATCTCTCCCAACTCTTAATTTCATGATTCTACGGTTCTCAGAGTCTGACTTCGTCATCCTGGTCTGTATGACTTTCTGAGATTCTGAGTTTCGGTCCCCAGCTCCTGCGTTTGGAAGATACTAGACTCCGGCTCCTCCCGGGCCCGTGCCCGGTGGTCTGAGACCCGGCGTACATGACCAAGCCTTAGGAGTGATCTCTCCGCCTTCAGGTCCACCCAAGGGATCGAGCATCTGGGACTTGTGCATCCACAAAGCCAGGTGGGGCTCTCCCCACTCCAGCCTGGGGAGGATGGGTGTGGTTCTTCCCACTGGGCTGGACGTCGGGGGAAGGAATGGGAGAGAGGTGGGCATCGAGGAGCAGGAAGAGCAAATCTTATGGGAGGGATGGAGAAGGGGATGACCACTGTGGAGGAGGTTGGGGGAGGACTGAACTTTGGGGAGGGGTTGAGAGAGGATTAGCTTGTCATCAGGGAGGGGTGGGGGAGGGCTGTGTTTAGACTCTCCCCATCCCTGCTGCCAAGTGGGTGACAAGAGGGGCCTGAGCCAGCTCTGCAGGTTGGCCTGCTCCCCAGACTGCCACGCCCCTGTGGGCGGAGACCTGTGCCCCTCCCCTTGAGGTCTGGATGTGTATCTTCTTCAACTGCAACTTCTCCCTAGTTCATTAAGCTGTAGCAGTCCCTGAATAAATATTGTGAGATGTATAGTGCTATGTGGCTGACATTTATTGAGCAGTGGTAATGTGCTATCGACTTTACATATATGAAATCACTGGATCTTCACAGAACCAGGTATTAGTAACATTATTACACTTTACAGATGAAAAAACTGAGGCTCAGAGAGAAGAGAGATGAACAAAGGTGACATGGTGGGTGGATGGCAGACCCAAACCCAATTAGATTTCATCCCAAAGTCTGCGCTGTTAACCATAAGCCTCTCTCAATGATTGCTTCCTGGCTCGTTGATGTCTCTTATCAAGCACCGATATTTGCAGATATAGGGCAAGCAGTAAGCATCTAGCTTCTGAGTTCAGGACTTAGTGTGTGCTAAGGTAACATGAGCATGAAGGAGTCGGGCAAACCCCACAGTATCAGGACTTGAAAGAGAAGAATTCCAGACTGGTTTCTCTACAATCCAAGCTGTATAACCAGATCACTGAGCTCACCTGCCAGTTTCATTACCTTAGCCCGGGCTGTGGGGAGAATCACATGGAGTAATAGCTGTGAGGATGGTAAGGTGTCTGAGGATTGCTTTTGGATTTTTATTTTACTAACAGATCTCTTTGTCTATGATGGAGTTGAACTCCCCAAGGTCATGCCATGGCATGGCATCACGGTTTGCTGATGCTGCTCTTATAGTGTGTCAGAAACTAGAAGTGATTCATCAGTCCCGTCTGCTAGGAGTTCTCAAAGAGGAATCTTAGACCTATTGTGCTGGGCCCCTGGCACAAGATTGATAGTCAGGATGGACACAGCCCTACCCTCAAGAATCATACAGTCCAGCAGATCAGCTACGTGTTCTTTATCCCTGTGCTGCCTGTCCTGGCTGTGTGAAAAATTCCCCAGGCCCTAATTTCTCCTCTGTGCCCTAGAGTCGTGAAGATTACTCCGGGGGGAAAAGGAAGAATGCCTCTCTTCTTCCGGAAGCGGAAACCCAGTGAAGAGGCTCGGAAACGACTGGAGTATCAGATGTGTCTGGTGAGGGAACCAGCTTCCTCTGAGTCCATTGCCACCTCTGCCCTCACGAAACCGGGTTCCACGTTGGCCCCCAAACAAGCCGTGTGCTCCCTCCCTCCTGCCCGCCTGCCTCTCCCCAAACCCCAGAGGAAATCTCTGACTCAAAGCAGACCCACGAGGCCACCTGTCAGATGCTCAGGAGTCCCTCGATCACTGTTGTCATTCCATAATCATTTGCTCCTCCCCGCTGGACCTCAAGCCCCATTAAAGCAGGGATCATTGGTGCACCTGCAAAATGGACTGGGTGAGCCAAATGGCGTCCATTGTCTCATAGGTCCTTAAGCCTGTGTTTCTTTGCCTGGTTTGTCCACCCTGCAGGGGTGCTTTGTTTGAACACTTTTTTTTTTAATTATTACTATTATTCTTTCCACCCTCAGGCGAAAGAAGCTGGAGCAGATGACATTCTTGACATCTCTAAATGTGAGCTCTCAGAGGTAAACTGGAGTACTGTTCTGGCTGTGAATTTGATCTGTCCTTTTTTCTTGGATCACATGTCCCTGAGAGAGACAGATGTAGACTGGGGTTTGAAAAGGCCAGTAGCATTAGTCAAAGAAATTTCCTTAGATTCTGTTTTTATTCAAAAGAATTGAGATGATCGTTGGCCTCAACATAGTCTTCCTAGGATCAAGGGGTCTAAAAATTGTACCCACATGGGTGCCTGGGTGGCTCAGTCAGTTGAACTTCTGACTCCTAATTTTGGCTCAAGTCATGATCCTGGGGTCGTGGGACTGAGCCCTGTGTCGGGCTCAGTGCTGGGTCTGGAAGCTGCTTTTTTTTTTTTTAATGTTTTATTTATTTCTAGGAGAGAGAGAGAGACAGCGTGAGCAGGGGAGGGTCAGAGAGAGAGGGAGTCACAGACTGAAACAGGCTCCAGGCTTTGAGCTGGCAGTCAGCACAGAGCCCGACGCAGGGCCCGAACCTACGAACCGCGAGATCATGACCTAAGCAAAAGTCGGATGCTTAACGGACTAAGCCACCCAGGCGCCTCTGGAAGCTGCTTAAGATTCTCTCTCCCTGTCCCTCTCCCTCTGCCCTCCTCCCCTACTTGTGTGTGCTCTCTCTCTCTCAAAAAAAAAAAAAAAAAAAAAGTTTTTAATTAAAAAAAGAAAATGTACACCCAGATTTCCAGGGAACTGGGAGATTCTGGGGTTCTGCAGCCTCTGCCCAGCACCAGAGATCTTTCTTTTGCTCCAATAGAGCTCATGATGGGGGTGGTGTAGGGGCTGGGGTGGGCAAGGCTGTCTTCTGCCACCTGATTGCAGGGGGAGCTGACCGTGTCATCAGCGGCATTCCTCACCAGCCTACCCTCACGGCCCTCCTGGCTTAGTGCTGCCCTCTACGTGAGGATTTTGCACTTGATCACCTCCTGCCCCATCCCCCCCTCACATGTGTGCCACTCAGAAAACAAACACGGGCCGGAGGGGAGGCACTGACTCTTCTTTCTCTTATTTTAGATTCCTTTTGGGGTTTTTGCAACATGCAAAGTTCTACAGAAGAAGGTGAGCCAGATCCTCATTTTCAAAGACTTGTTCATGCGTGTTCGCGGGTTTGAAATCACGTGGGACTTTTAGGAACTGCCTTCTTGGCACAGGCATCTCCATTCTCCCAGATTCTCACCCTTTCAGCCTGACACAGGTGTTTTCCCAGTTAGAAGAGCAGGCTTTGGGGTCAGATGGTCCTGGGTCACATCCTGGCTTTGCCCCTCTTGTGAGTTGGGCAACTTCCGCCAACTCTTACATCTATTTCTTCATCTATGAGATGAAGACACTCCCAGCTCTACTCTCACAGTGGTATTGTGAGAAGTGAGTGGCAGGTAGGGAGGTGGGCAGATAGAGAGGCAAGTGCACTGGGCAAGATGCCCGCCACAGTAAACACTGGGTGGCCTCGTTGTTAATCATAATGAAAACTACACTCATTTCATTCTGGTCACCCAGGAGAGATTAAGAATGGAATGAATGATTTTTCAGAAAGGCATCACAGCTCTGCATGTAGACAGCTAAGAGTATTCGAAATGAAAGGAGGTAAAAAGAGTGCTCCATACCAACACAGCAGAGCTCCTTGACACTGGACATTTCTGTGCAAGGGTCGGTGCCAAATAAAAAGAACAACAGATGACACGAACTGAGCCCTGAACCCCAGGCCAGTCCTGGGATTAGTGCTTTTGGTCTGTTAGTTTCTTAATCATACGCCAGCCCTTGGAGGCGGGTCCTTTATTCTCTGCTTCCCACATGAGGATGCTGAAGCCAAGGATGGTTCAGATCAGGACAGCTGCACAGGGCCGCTCCTCAGGATGGAAGGTAGAATGAGGCCTCTAAGATCCCTTTCACCCTGGAAATGGCAGGTTTTCGGGTCCTCTGATTCTGCATTTGCAGCTTCTGTGATTCCAAACCACACCCCCATTGCGGTGTCTGGAAGAGCAGGGGCAGGCGGGTTCTGAGGTGCATCCCCAGCTGAGCTGCCTGCCCCTGCTCACCGCTCATCCTCAGGCTAACGCGCCACAAATCTCTTCCCACAGGTGTTGATTGTCCACACTAATCACCTCACTTCCCTGCTCCCTAAATCCTGCAGCCTCCTGAGTCTCGCAACCATCAAGGTATGGGAGCCCTTGTCCCACATGTCAGGAGCTCTGTCTGGTGCTCCAGGTGGCTTCCAAGCTGCCTTTGGTAAAGTTCATGCCAGGCAGGCCTAACGTAACAGTCAGGCTGGGGTTGGATCAGCACCACTTACTGGGCACCTTCTACACGCTGTGCATGGGGTGGGGTTACAAAGATAACCAGCCGCAGGCCCTGCCTTCAGGGGGCCTGCCAGACAGGTAGGAAGGTAAACCATGAACTCCCAGAGAGCTTGGAAACTGAGGAGCCCAAAGGAGAAGGCCCCGGAGGGACACCAGGCATCATGTGTCAGTGTGTGAAAGCCTGTGATTTAGGCTGACCCTCTCCTAACTCTCAGCCTCTCCAGGACAGGGACAGGGACTTACTCACATGTGACATGACCTATGGCCTCAGGATTACTGCACAGGAGCATGAGCTATGACAGTGGAGGAAAAGATGGCAGCATCAGGCATCAAAGTGTTTTTCGTGGGTATTTCCTGTTTATAGGAGTTGCGGTCGTTTTTACTTCTCTTTGTTATTCTAGTCCAACACTCATTATTTTTGTTGTAAAACAAGTAACTTTTTATATGTATTTCTAATATATATTTAGTACGTATTTTTGTATTTCATATATATGTGTGTGAAACATACTACCTACTCCAGTGTGTTATCTGTGCCTTGTTGGCTTATTTTCACTGTTAAAAAAATTAACAAGTGCAGTTAAGCAAAGAAATGGAGGGAATTATGTATGTAATTCCACACTCCAGAGAACTGCTATCAATATTTTATTGCATGTTTGGTAGTCTTTTTCTACAAAAATAATATAATTACACTGTGGGGAGTTTTCCTTTCTAACGTGAATACTTACGCATACTGTTTTATAGCACACTGTTTTGCGCAACAGTTAAAAATGAGTACCTGATAAAAGAAAGAGGTGGTTTAATATTTTGGAAACGGAGTGGAGCCGGAATACGTGACTCTTTAGTTGGAGAGGAATGTTGGGGCCATCTGTTCTAACACCAGAGGCAAGAAGAGACCCCTGGCGTGATCTCACCTCCGGAGCCCGAAATCTGCTGGTTTCCTCAGTCGATGACTGTGAGGGCTTAAGCTAGTCTTCCTTCGGCAGGTTCTGGATCTGCATGATAATCAGCTGTCCGCTCTTCCCGATGACATCGGGCAGCTGACCGCCCTCCAGGTACGTGTGCAGGACACACAGAACCCGCCTCTGACGGCCTGAGTGGGAGGTTGCAGCCGCACAAGCCTGGAGAGTTCTGCCTGTGCTCAGGCCCGGGCCACCCCAGGTGCCGGCTCCCCCTGCCCCTTTCCCGCGAGGAAGCCTGGTGACGCCCTGGCCACCGTAGTCTGCGCTGTGGAAGCCTCCATGCCGTATTTGTGGCCTGTGCCTTTGGGGTTTCCTCGTGAGCCCCCACGATGTACAGGAAATGATGGATCCGGCCCTCTGCCTCAGCCTCCCACTGTGGTCCGGGCCAGCCATAGCTCCTGCGTGCCCGCTGCGCTCTAAGCATTTCCTTCGCGTTGTCTCTGGTTTGCTTCCTCGCAGCTGCGCCGGCAGGTGCCGGGAGTAGCCCCACTTCACAGGGGGAGAAGTGGCTTTCCTCCACATGGAGATTAAAACCCATGCTCTTCGCCGAGCCCCTTCAGACCCTGTATGATGGGCCCACCTGCCTTTTTCTCCTCTCCTGTCCCTGTCGCTCCCGGCAGTCAGCTCCTGAACCCCTCCTGGCCTCTCGCCCCCCTGCGGCAGGGCCTCCGCACGCAGACCTCCCCTCCTCCCTTGGCCTGAATGGCTCATCATCTCCCGGCCCAGTGTCCCCGAGGTGCCTCCCCGACCTCCCTGTCAGAGCAGATCCACCTTATCGGCCTTGGTCCCATACCCAGCTTATTTCCCTGCGAGCAAAACGACAGTCCACAATTGCAAATCAAGCATTTGCTGGCTCGAGGGAGCCACAGTCCTCTGAGGGCAGCACCCCAGCTAGCGACTGCCTCCAACGTGGAGGAGACCAGGAAGTGACACGAGTGAGCGGCCCTACGGTGTGCCACTGCACTTTTCAGAAGAGACAGCTGAGGTCACTTGCCCAACAGTACACAGAGAACACGTGTCAGGGAAGTAGTGACTGCTGCCCCTTAGAAAGCCCCAGCGAACACCTGGGTGTAGGATCCTTGGGGATTTTATTTCAATGTGTATATTTTTATAGACTTGGTGCATCCATTGTCTTGATACTTCTGGACACCTGACAGTAACCCAGAGCCATCCTTTGGCTCATCAAATATTCATCTGCCACATTATCTGTAACGGCTGCTTTCCATTGCGTCAGTGTTTAATGAGTCCTTAGCGCGTCACCCTGTTGGCCTGGCTCGCCCCGCAGTGCCGCATCTGGGAGGGAGCGTGGCCTGCGGGATCCCACCAGCCTGCCTTCCGGCCGGGGCACTGCCAGCCACTAGCCTGGAGACCCCAGGCAGATCCCGCACCTTTACACAGCTCAGCTTCCCTCCCCCAGATCCCTTCTTCCTCCATGCTTGATTGTGGGGCCCCTGTTGGGCATTCTGTGGCCTGCGTAAGTGATGGGAACCCCCCACAAGTACCGGCTCAAGGGCTGGCTTTGCTCTCTCGGACACGTGACTTCGCCAGTGTGAGCTCAGTTTTCTCATCTCTCAAATGGGATCATTTATGCCTTCCTCACGGGCTATCAAGAGTAGATAAAGTTGCCTGTGGTACCCAGGTGATGCCTGGCCTAAAGCAGGGGTGGACACTACTATCCATGTGTGGGTTCTCATGTCATTTTTCCCTCTTTCTTAGGTATTGAACGTGGAAAGGAATCAACTGACGTATCTCCCACGTTCCATTGGGAACCTGATCCAGCTCCAGACCCTCAATGTGAAAGGTAGGGACCAGGAAGCCCTGTCCATGTTATTTTCCATCAGCTCTAGGCTGTCTGGGCCTGGCATCCATGGAGAGCCCCTCCTGGGGACCCCTGAGCATGAGGGCGGCCAGTCCTGGGGCATCCCTGTGACCTGGACTGACCCTGTTGGGGTGGTCTATCTCCGGGGTAACCAGAGGTGGGGCATCTGGAGAGTTCCTGGACCCTTCAGTCCAGAGCCTTACAGCGAGGAGGGCCCACAGTCCTGACAGCCAGGATCCTGGCACTTAGCCACTCGTATCTGTAATAACGAGGAGCGGTAGGAGCCTCAGTGATGCTTCTGACAGAGCCCCGCGCACAGGGAAGAGCGTCCACAGGCAGCGGTGCCGTGAGCCTGAGTCCCTGACAGGGAGGTGTGCTCCCCACCGGAGGCTGAGAGCAGTGACTTGCTCAGGACCACCCCATGTGTTAGTGACAGAGCCCAGAGTCACACGCACCATGCTTGCTCCCATGCCCCTGGCTCCCTCATGTTCTCTTGTGGTCCTTAAGCACTTCCTGCACTAAACGCCTCAGTTTACTTATTTGTAACACAAGTGACGATAAAAATAATGATACCGTATTTGCTGATCACTTACTGTGTGGTAGGCACTGTGCTGAGGGCTTTGTATGCATAGTTTCATTGAATCCTTTGATGTTCCTTGAGGCCCTATAGCATTATTATCCCCATTTTACAGATGGGAAAACTGGCCCAAGGAGGTACAGTCTGTTTTCCAAAGTGACTCAGCTAATAATGGTGGAGTAAGAACTTGAACCCAGGTCACTGAAACTCGACCATGGTGCTCTTCCTCACAGAGCCTAGGTCTCAGGACCTGGCACGTGCCCTGGAGTCAGAGTGAGGCACCCACTTCCCCCCAAGTCCTGGCAGGAAGCTGGTGAAGGGGCTTTGGGGGGTTGAGCTGTGCCATCCGGCTTTCTGCAGATAACAAGCTACGGGAGCTTCCCGACACCGTGGGGGAACTTCGAAGCCTCCGTACCCTTGACATCAGTGAGAACGAGATCCAGAGGCTGCCACAGCTGCTGGCGCACGTTCGAACCCTGGAAGTAAGTGGGGAGCCGTTCTCCTCTGGGGTCCTCTCAGGCCAAACCCCCTCCCCACAAGTCCCAAATGCCGGCCCTGGTCATGGGGTGCTGGGCTCACAGGGATCTCCGGGCACGTACCTAGGGGCTGGCAGAGAGACTGATGTCAGACAGTGGTAATTAGGTGACTTCTGCCGCCACGCGCACCAGAGGCAGGAGAGCACGCTCCCAGGGTGAAGAGCTAAGGCTGAACCCTGCGGGGGGTGTGCTGTGAGCATTTCGCGCAGGCTTTGAGCCAGACCTTGAGAGAGGAAAAGGGGGCACTCCGGTGCTGGGGGCAGTACCAGGAACACAGGCAGTGGGGAGCACAGGGTGTGTTAAGGGGAGGGGGAGATCTGATGTGGTGGGAAGCTGCTGTGTCTGGACAGTCCAAGTCGCGAAGAGCCCAGAGCGCTGTGAGGGGGAAAGTGGCCTCGCCAGGAGGTGTAGGAAGTGGGTTTCATGGGGGGAGGGAGGGCACGCTCTTCCTGGGTCACCGTATTCGTTTGCTAGGGCTGCCGTAACAAAGTCCCATGACTGGGTGGCTTGAACAAGACATTTATCTTCTCACAGTTCTGGCACCTGGAAGTCCAAGATCACGGTGCCAGCAAAGGTGGTTGCTTCTGAGACCTCTGTCCTTGGCCTGTAGACGGTCATCTTCTTTTCCTCTCTTTATAAGAACACCAGTCATATCAGATTAGGGCCCAGCCTGGTGACTTCACTTTGAACTTGATTACCTCTTTAAAGACCTTTTATCCAAATATGTCAACATCAAAGGTAAAGGGGGGTTAGGACTTCAACATACGTGTTTTCAGGGCACACACGATCCAGGCCCTGACACAGGGCAGCTCACGCAGGGAAGGTGGGCTTTTACCCTTGCCCACGTTTATCTGGTGCTTACTAAGCCTGGTGCTTAACCTGCATCAGTTTCCTGAATCTTCATGAAAATCCTGTGAGGCAGATACTACTGTGCCCTCTTGCAGCTGAAAACACTGAGGCGTGGACAGTTTAAGGAGCTTGCCCAAGGGCCACACAGCTAGTGATAGCAGAGACAGGATTGAGAACCAGGCAGTCTGAATCGAGGGCCCGTGCTCTTTTCCTCTGTGAAACTCAACCTTCTGGAACAGGGACTTCTCCATTCATGATGATGCACAGTCGGGACAACATCCCAGAATCCTCTGATGAACCATTAGTGAATTACGTCTCAGATCAGACTGCTAAGCATTAGCCTCTGTGTCAGAAACGGGCTGGTGAACATGTAGATAGCAAAGGGAGGTGGCTGACGCCAGAGTCTGGTGCCTCCTGCCATGACAGCCAGCCTGAGAAAGGACGGGAGGGTTAGCTCCTCTCCCTGGGCCGGCTGGAGAGACAGGTCAAGACATGGTTACTCTGTGCTGTCCAATAGAACTTTCTGCAGCTCTGATGGAAACGTTCAATGACTCTGCAGTCCAAATCGGTAGCCACTAGCCACATGTGGCCTTTGAGCACTGGCAGTGTGGCTAGTAGGACCAAGGAGGTGTATGTTTAGTTGTGCTGAATTTTAACTAGTTTATATTTTAATAAACTAAGTCACACATGCTTGGCAGCCACTGCGTCAGAGCAACCAGCTCACAGCAGCACAGATTCTAAATCCATTGGAGGGGGAGCTCGGGAGTGGTGCATTTTACATCCGGTCTTTACAAAAAGCTTTTGAGCTTCTCGGTGGCACCCAGGGCGAACCCTTTCTCAGGATGCGACAGTAGTGGTCATTCTAGGTTAAGGCCAAGGTCTTTCTCCCATGTTGTCTCATACTGTCCATCAGACAGCCTGCTGGCTGGGTGACGTGCCTGTTTACCTCTGGGGGGGCCGTGCCTCAGAGACATCAACTGCCCTGTTCTCGGGTGCACAGCTGGAACAGGATGAGCTGGAGTCTAACCCCAGGGCCGAGCGGCTGAGCGCAGCTAGCAGAAACCCCCGTAAACTGTGTGTCCCGTGCAGCTACTGCAACTGAGGGACCAAGCTTTAAATTCCCTTTCATTTTACTCAGTTAAAAGCTAAGCTTAAGTGGCCAGGCGTGGCTCACGGCCACCGCCCTGGGTGGTGCAGCCCCAGCGACCACCACACTTTGCTGTCGGTGACCAGCATTACCCATGTGGGTTAGTTTTCTTTAGACCCAGCCCCCCCAAACCAGACAGGCAGTGCTCCGCTCCAGAGCAGGCTCCCCGCTGCAGTGCATGTTCCTGAGCTCAGAGGCCGTGCGAGCCAGGGCTGGGTTTAGGTTTTTTTCTAACTTAAAAGATCACATTGTTAAACATACGTCATGTAGAAAATACCCCGGAATCTACCCTTTAGAAGAAGCCACTTAGAGGGTGGTATATATTCCTCCAAACTGTTTTTGTAAATACACACTAATGCAAGGGAATGTGAGTTTTCTTTTTTAACAAATACGGAATCTTATTATCTATGTATCCTGTATATATGCAGTTTATTTTTTGTCCGCTTAATTTATGTTTTTATACGAAAACATTAATCCCATGCTGGCTGCACGCCAGGCTCTGTTTGAGGTGCTGGGGGCGCAGCAGGAACAAGACAGGGGAGCCGCCCCTGCTGTGGGCAGAGGAGACCGTAAACACGCGCATTCATAACTAAAGCAGGTGCTTTGCCGTCGTGTTGATCAGTGAAGCGGGCGACACGTATAAAGAGGTTCCCCTTGTGTCTGCAGACCCTGAGCCTCGACGCCTCGTCCATGGTCTACCCCCCACAGGAGGTGTGCAGCGCCGGGACCCAGGCCATTCAGCGGTTCCTCTGCAAAGGTAAAGCCCAGAAGGTGGCCTGCCTCCTTCGATCAGTGAGCAAGCATGGTCCCAGCAACTGCCCTGTGCCAGCCCGGGCTCGGGGACAGCAGAGACCAACGAGGCCACCATCCCTGCCTGCGCAGAGATCTCCAGATGTAGCAGGAGAAACAGGCAGAACAGATGGTCACACTAGGAAATGTAATTACCGGTTAGGCTGGGGCCTCAGGGAAGGTCTGAGAAAGTGGTTCAGCAGAAACCTGAGGGTGATTAACACTTAGGAAGGAGAGAAGGCTACTGCTGCCAGAAGGAGAGCCCCGTTGAAGGGCCCAGCGGAGGGGGGGAGGGCAGTGGGAAGCATGCCTCGGGGGTGCGGAGTGGCTGGGCGCCCATGCAAAGGAAAGAAACGGGGTAAAGCCAGAGAGACCATCTGGGCCACGTGTCAAATAGGAGAGGGCTTTGATCACTTTGCTTTTGATAAAGTTCACTCCAGCTGCAGAGAGGAGAAGGGAGTGGAAAAAGCAAGAGTGGAGGCCAGGGACCAGATAGGAGGTCATGCACAGAGGCCACAGTGGACTGGACTTGGAGGAGTGGCAGTGCAGTGAGAACCCAGGGCCACCAGTGATCTGAGTGCCCCGAGGTTGGGGGGCAGTATATCCAGCCACCTCCTGCCCGGCTGATGTTCTTAATCAGGGGCTCCTGTCACCTGGAGAACTTCTAGAACATGGCTAAGACATATACATGCGGTCAGCTGTTGGCGACGAAAGTGCCATTGCAAGGCCACAAGAAAGAAAAGCAAAGGTTTTTTCACTTAATGACTGCGGATCAGTTGGGTATCCGTGTGAAAGTAAAGAACCTTAATTTCTTCCCTCACTAGGAGACAGGCAGCATCAGCCATGGAAGACTGATAAATTAGATTTCAGTAACATCAAAAAGACACCACTTAGGGTAAAAAAGCGCAAGTCATAGAGTTGGAAAGGAGATCTGCGATACACGCATGTCCAACACAGGACCTGTTTCAGCAGATAAGAAGGTGAATAAGGCAAAGGCACTATCAAAAGACATGAATAGGAATTTTACAAGAAAACAACATCCAGGTGGCCAACAGGATCCCAAAAAAGTGTCCAACATCACTTTTGTCCATAGGAAAATGCAAATTAAAACTGCCCAGAGCTACTTAAATCCTAACACTAAAGTTAACGTGGCTACAAAGAATTAGCAAACCTATGGAGCTACAGGAGCTTCCGTGCCCCACAGGTGGGAGCGTGAGTCCTAACCTGCCGCAGAGAACAGCTACGCAAGGTGCACCCTCAAACCCTGTGAGCCACCCATTCCATGCCTGGGCCAAGTGCGTATGAACATATGTCAGATGCACTGTTCGTAACAGCCCCGGCCGGAAACAACTCAAATGCCTGTCAAAGCTTGTATGGTAAATCAACTGCTTTAGACTCACGTATGAATATCAGACAGCAATCAGAAAGGACAAAAAAAGCAGGCTTCGTGCTACAAGAGCGAACCTCGCAGACACCGTGTGCAGTGAGAGGCCACATGGAAAGGAATATGCACTTTTATCAGCACGTGAGCTCTGAACCAACACCGAGTCCTGTTTATAAGGGTGTATCTGCTTTTAAACACTCATGAAGCTGTGCGTGAAGACTTTGTGCTCTTTTCTGTGTGTGTGTGTGTGTGTGTGATTCTTCAGTTAAAACAAAAAAAGTTACACATCACACAACAGCTGCTCAGGCCACACAGCTACCAAATTAGTGTTGAGCACCAGGTGATTCTCATGCGCACCCTGGCCAGTGGCTGAGCTACGCCATAGTCTCTTCTTTCTTTCTTCAAGTATAATTAACATAGCACTATACGAGCTTCAGGTGTGCAATTTGATGACTCGATTCTATACCTCGACTCAGTGCTCATCCTGATAAGTGTGCTCTTAATCCCCTTCACCTGTTTCACCCATCTCCCCACCCTCAAACCCTTTATTTTCCTTCAAAAGATTTTTAAATTATGCCATTTCTAGGTGTACAAAGAACAAAGCAGTGAGCATATGTATACCCACCAAACAGCTTAAGAAAGAATCTGTTTATTTGAACGGTATAGGAGGTATGCATTATTATGTAAAGTTTTGGGGCTTGCTTTTTTAAAAATACTTTTTACAAACCCCCAAAAGGGATCATACTGTTGTGATTCTCCTCTTTTCACTCAAGAATAGGTCTTGGGCCTTTTCCTATCTCATAAAGGGTGGATCTGCCTTTTTGTTTTTTTATGTTTATTTGTTTTTGAGAGAGAGAGAGAGAAAGAGCATGCATGGGAGGGGCAGAGACAGAGGGGGACAGAAGACCCAAAGGGGGCTCTGCACTGACAGCAAAAAGCCCGACACGGGGCTCAAACTCACAAACTGTGAGATCATGACCTGAGCTGAAGTTAGATGCTTAACCAACTGAGTCACCCAGGTGCCCCCCCACTTTTTTTTTTAACATTTATTTTTGAGAGAGAAAGAGTGCAAGCACGGGAGGGTCAGACAGAGAATCTCAAGCAGGTTACGCGCTGACAGCAGTGAGCCTGACTCTGGGCTCCAACCCATGAACCATGAGATCATGACCTGAGCCAAAGTCAGACGCTTAATTGGCCGAGCCACCCAGCTGCCCCAGATCTGCCTTGTTTTAAAGTGATATATAGCATTTCATGTGTGGAGCCCCACAACTTGTGTGGCCTTCCCCTTATGGTGAACATGAGGTGGTTCCCAGTCTTCGGCTGTTAAATTTTAACCCCCCCCCACCCCCCGGCTATGGCACCGTGGGAGTATTCCCCTCAGGCAGACAGAGTGGGACTGGCAGACAAAGGGGCAAGCGCTGTGTGCTGCCGGTTTCCATTCCCACGAGAAGTGTGAGAAGACCCTCTTCTTTCCACAAGTAACACTCGGTGTCATTTTTGCCAGCCTTCTCCGTTTGTTCATTCTGATGTATAAACAAAGTTACGTCCTTGGTTATTTGAATATTCATGTACGTACTGGCCATTTTTAGTATTTCTTTTTCCATTTGTATTTTAAAAAGACAACTTTTACCATATTAGAATCTAAAAGTTCTTTACTTCAAAAGGATCCTGTCATTAAAGTTAAAAAGACAGGTTACTATCTGGAAGAAGATCGTTCCAATATATATTAGAGGCCCAAGGTTATTAGCTAGAATATGTAAAGAGCTTCTATAAACCAGTAAGAGTAAGGCAAACAAACAAACAAAAGAATAAGGCAAACAACCCACCCAAAAATTGGTAACAGGTAAGAACTCCTGCCAAAGTATGCGGGAGAAAAGTATGCAGGGCCACAGAAGGCAAGTCTCTTGCCCAGGGTCTCACACGCAGCCTTCTCCACTAATCTCACACTTTCTCATCGCCTCATTCTCACGTGGATGGTAAAGAGGCAGCTGGTGAGCCTATTTATTCACTCAGCTGACGCTTACTGAGTACTTACCACGGTGCAGGCCTTGCCGTCAGGGAGGGTGAGCAAGATGGAGGGCCCAGTCCCATCCGGGGCAAGGGAGCAGTAGACCAGGCAGGTGGGACAGGATGCTGGGGACGAGGGTGGAGGCTGAGGGAGGGGACTACTCTGTGGCCCACTCTGGACAGCTTGTGCCGTCTCTTGCAGAGTCCGGGCTGGAATACTACCCTCCTTCTCAGTACTTGCTGCCAGTTCTGGAGCAGGATGGAGCTGACGCTTCGCAGGACAGCCCCGACGGGCCCACAGACAGATTCTCCAGGGAGGAGGTGGAGTGGCAGGTAGGCTTACCTGCCTGCTGATGTGTGGAGTGTGGAGGGGAGGCCCTGGGTGTCAGGGGGCTGTTCAGAGCTGCAGGTCCCGGATTCCTCCATCAAACCAGAATTCACCTCCATTCAGACCAGTGTGCTCAGATGCTTTCACGAGGCCTACTATGCTGCCTCCCCCACCACCTCCCCAAACTTCAGCTCCCCAGCTTCCTCTGTGCTCCCTGAACTCTTTGGGACCTCTGAACTTGCAGTTCGCTCCGTCTGGAATTCTCCCCACTCACCACCTTCATCTCATCCTTTGGTTCTGTCTAAAGCCCATATCCTCTGAGAAGACCCCCGCCCAGGCCCGGTCTCCTGCCATGTGGTCTAGGTGCCCACACGTCTCCTCGGGAGCATCTGTCACAGCTCTAAGTGAAAAATTACATGGGAGATGCCTTGTTTAACGTCTGTGAAGCTTTGTGAGAGTGAGGGTCGTGTCTGGATTGTTCATTGTCGTCTCTCCGTGAGTGCTTCCTGCCTCGGTGCCCTTGCTGTCAGAGGCCTGTGCTGTTCTTGTCTGCGGAGAAGTACATGTGTTCGCACGGCAGCAGGCTGGCCCTCCCTGGTCCCTGGCAGTGACCTCTCTTGGGAGCAGCATGGAGGAGGAGGGAGCACTTGACCCACTGGAACCACACAGAAATCACCTGTGGTCCCATCTGTGCTCCCACAGGGGGCCCACGACCCAGGGCGCCCGATGGCAGGCAGAGGGGGCACCAACTGCTGCAGGTTTGGCCTCCTATCTTCCGGGGACTTGTTACTAACCTCCCCTCCCCGGGTGCCGCCCTTCGCTGTCGGACAGGGCCCACCTCGAGCGCCTTTGTGGTTTTGTCTGTTGGCTGACAGCTCAGTGAGAGATAGGGAGGGGCAATTTCCACCTGGGAAATTGTGCCCATTTTTCCTCTCAAAATATTTGCAATGAATATTTTTGATGCAAGATTAGTAGACTGAATATACAAAGAGCTCTTCCGAAGCAGTAAGTCGAAACAGAGAACCATCCCAAGAGGGGAAAAAAAAATGGGCCAGAGGTATATCAACAGGTACTTTACAGCCTAAAACAGTATAGATGTCGGGCGTCCAGCTAGCTCAGTCAATAGAGCGTGTGACCCTTGATCTCAAGGTCATGAGTTCAGGCCCCACGTTGGGCGTAGAGCTTACTTAAAGACAATGTAGATAGATGATCGGTAAATATGAAAAAATGCCCGACTTCCCTAGTAATCAGAGAGTGGTGAATTAAAATACCATTTCACCCTCAGATTGGTACAGGTGTTGTTTTGCTAATTTCCTGGCCACAGTGTGGGGAAATCATGGCCTCCTAAATTGTTCTTGGGAAACTGGTATTCCCACCATGGAAGATAACCTGATAATACGGTCCAGTAGCTCAGGCTCCGGCAGCCCCACTCCTCAGTATGTATCCCCAGAGACCCCCTCGCGCAAGGAGACATTCACAAGAATGTTCATTGCAGCCTTATTTGCGGTAGTGACCTATTGGAATCTTCCTAAACGTCTCTCAGTGGGTAAGGGCTAAGCCACCTGTGTCCTATCCATACCACGAGCTAGATCTCTGCAGGCTCAGATCACGGGACACTTGGGTACATAAAAAGGACAAGTTGCAGAACATGATGAATTTAGTAGATTTCCCTTTTCATGCTTAGAAGGTTCAAATACAGATCAGTAATAGCTATTAAGAGGGGTGCAGTTTGATGACTGACGGACAGGGAATTTTGGATTGTTCTAGGTCTTGATTATAGTGACACTTACATGACTGCATTGGTCAAAATGTCTAAAACTGCATACTAAGGATGAATTTTAGAGTATGTGAATTATGGCTTCCATAAAACATGTATTTATATACGAGCACAGAGACAAATCTATTTTCCAAAGGCACAAATTATATGTAAATAGATGCATAGACTTGGGTCTGATAATGGTAGTTACATGGCAGGAGGGAACCAGGATCAGGCTGGGGCATGGTCCGTGAATACTTACATGCTGTCTTTTAATCTTTTATAAGGAGAATATATTATATCTATAATTTTTTATGAAGCTTTTTAATATTTTTGAGAGCAAGAGCTTGTGCGGCCACACACGTACACACAAGTGAGCAGGGGAGGGGCAGAGAGAGGGGGAGACAGAGGATCCACAGCAGGCTCTGTGTTGACAGCAGAGAGCCCGATGTGGGGCTCGAACTCCCGAGCCATGAGATTATGACCTGAGCTCAAGTCGAGACACTTAACCAACTGAGCCACCCAGGTGCCTCCCCCATGTGTATTTATTTTTTGGGGGGGGAGAGAGAGAGCGCGAGAGCTGGATGTGGGGCTTGAACTCAGGAGCCACAAGATCGTGGCTTGAGCCAAAGTCAGATGCTTAACCAACTGAGCCACCCAGATGCCCCAGATACTATCTGTATAATTAAAAATTAAATTAATTAAAAAATTTTTATTCCTACCTCAGCATGGGACAAATCTGATTTCTATAAAATATGCTGTTTTTACAGCTCAGACAGAGACCAATCTTGGCCTCCAACCTGGATAACTAAATACAAGGCCACTTAAAAAATCTGTGTGTGTGTGTGTGTGTGTGTGTGTGTACGCACGTGTGGGTGGATGTTGCAGTACAAGAGTAGTTCATGCTCCTCATTACAAGTCTGAACAATACAGAAATATGTAAACTACGTGAATGTCCCCTCTCCCCAAGGTAATTCACAAGCTGACTTCCTTCTCAACAAATACAAAACTCCGAGTTGAGCTTCATTGCTCCTCTGACCAGAACAGAATCCTGCTGCCCAGAGAGGGAAAGATGGCTTCTGGGTAGCTCCCCACGTTTGCCCCAAGATTTGACGATGTGTGATCCATTGCATGGATGCACCAGGACTTACCCAAGTGACCGCCTGTTGATAGGCATCTGAGTTACCGCAGGTGTTTTCACTCTTGAGAACATTTCTATAAGAGGGTGCCTGGGTGGCTCTGTTGGTGAAGCGCCCGACTTCGGTCCAGGTCATGATCTCACAGTTTGTGTGTTTAAAGCCCACATCAGGCTTGCTATCTGCATGGAGCCTGCTTCGGATCTTCTGTCCACCCCACCACCCCTCTCCCACCTGCTTCTCTGCTCATGCACTCTCCCTTCTCTCTCTCTCTCTCTTTCTCTCCCTCTCTCTTTCTCTTTCTTAAAAATGTTAAAAATTTTTAGTATCTAACACTTCTGCAGGAACAAGTACACATAACTTTGTGCGTTTGCAGTATTTTGATGGGCTAGAGCTTTGGGGCACTGCAGCGTGCTGTATGGACAGGGGGCCACATATCCCACTTCTGGTCTCCCTCCTCCGTGCCGCACCCCAGAACTGTCCTGAAGAGCTTCCTACAATGTGCCGAACCAGGTGGTTCTTGACCCTGGTGTCCACTAGAACCATCTGGGACCTTTTATCAGACTACCCTTCCTCCTCGTCCCCACCCGCCACACCATTCTGCTGCAGCGCTCTGGGGTGGGCCCAGGAGTCTGAATGGTGTCCCGCTGCCCAGCAATTCTGGCCATGGGCTGTCCACCTCTTCATCACTGTCTTTTTTTCTCCTCCCACCCCCAGAATAGGTTCTCCGACTATGAGAAGAGGAAGGTAAGAAAATGCGTTTCCTCCTTGGTCACTTTTTTTTTTTTTTTATCAAAGATCTCAACTATTAAAAAAGATTGGAGGGAACAACTTCTTTCTGCCTCTAAGTTAGAGGGTAAACTAAAGTTTTCCTCTTACATACATTGCCTCACCACATCCTTATGCAGCCTCCGTGGGTGACGAGCTAGCTCCCCTTCACAGATGAGAAGCCTGAGGCTCAGAGACCCCAGACTCTAAGCCACTAGGCTCTGCCAGTGACCAGCCTGTTTTGTTACAGTTGGGCCCTGGGCAGGAAGGTGAGGGAGACGGGCAGGGCGGGGAGTGGGGTGGGAGGGTGGAGTCATTACTCAACCTTAAGACCTAACAGCCTGCACTATTCAGAGCTGAGGGGTAGATACACCCTGCTCCCGTGGCCGAATGCCCACAGAGCCTAGCCAGCCTTCACCAGGATCTACGTTCTTGCAGGAACAGAAGATGCTGGAGAAACTCGAGTTTGAACGGCGCCTGGAACTCGGGCAGCGAGAACATGCCCAGCTCCTTCAGCAGAGCAGCAATCAGAAGGACGAGATCCTTCAGACGGTCAAGGAGGTTCGTGAGCGGCCACGCGGGGTCCGGCTTGTCTGCGCACTCCCTCCGGGGGGGGGGGAGGGATTGAGACCCCTTGCAAGGGCCCTTGGTGCCAGCTCAGGACGGCCACCCGTCCCGCTGCAGGAGCAGTCCCGGCTGCAGCAGGGCCTGAGTGAGCGCCAGCGCTGCCTGGACGCGGAGCGGCAGCGGCTGCAGGAGCAGCTGAAGCAAACAGAGCAGAACATCTCCAATCGGATCCAGAAACTCCTGCAGGAGAATCAGAGGTCAGGCCCCCAGTCCACAGACCCTGAGGCCTCCTCCCATGTGGTGCCCTTTGAAGAGCCTGGGGGTAGGGGCCCATTTCTCCCCTGTAGTCTACACTCCTGCCCCCAAGGTTTTCGTTGTTAGGGTCCAATCCTGGTACTATTTGCACCAACCCAAAGAGAAGAGAATCTGATCTGGCCCCATGCCCCCCAGGTTCCCCATCTATAAAGTGATGAGTGGGCTTAATAGAGTTGAAGTCACATCCTGCCCCAATATTTTGAGTTCCGAGTAACACGTTCCCTGAGGTCAGCCATGCAACCCACAGTGAGATTTGCCTTAACAAAACCTGTCCGAGGTGGGGGTTGCTGGGAGCAGGCCTCAGTGGGCTTGAGGGAAAGGAAGCCAGATGGAGGAAGGTCCAGGTGGGGTCCCCTGTGGAAAGCACCCTGAAACAGGCTTTTGCCACATCCCCTGTTGCTTCCAGGCTTCCTTTTGCTTTTCCCTTACGGGCCTGTCACACAGCAGCTCTGCAGGGCCCGAGCGAGCCTGCCGCGAGCCGCACAGCGTGCTCTCCCCGCCGGGGTGTCCCGGGAAGCTACCCTTTGTCAGGTGCTGCTTACGTGCCAAGCGCTTTGTGTATATTCTCTTACTCTTTACAAATACCCCATGAAGCCTTTTTCTTATTATGATCCCATTTTGCAGATGAGGAACGGGGGCTTGGTGGGAATGAGTAACTGGCTCAAGGGCACCGAGCGCCGAGGTTCTGGGGCTGAGGGGCCCGGGGCCAGTTACTGAGCTGCACAGCCAGTGCAGAGAAGGGGAGAGCAGTTCTGTTGCGAACAGGCCTGCCGGCGACACCAGCAGGGATGCTTTATGGTTTGCTCTGCAGGCAAAAGAGAAGTTCCGAGATCTTGAAGTCGCTGGAAAATGAGAGGTTAGTGTTTGACTCTGGCACTTCCTTGGCGTTGCCTCGTGATGGGGGCAGGGGCTTGGGAGAGAACATTTTGTGGTTGTCCAGGATTATGCCAGAACACGTTTGCTAAAGCTCTAAGGAGATTCGCTGTAAGGAATATGGAGTCAAAAATAAATCACTGCCTGCACGTTGAACACACATGTACGTTCCTGAGAAAAATTAAGACACAAATAAAAATATATATAACGTCCAACTATATTGCTAATATAAAAAAAATTAGAGGGGCGCCTGGGTGGCTCAGTCGATCGAGCATCTGAGTTCAGCTCAGGTCGTGATCTCACGGTTTGTGAGTTGAAGCTCCGAGTTGGGCTCTGTGCAGACAGCTCAGTGCTGTCTGCTTTGAATTCTGTTTCCTCTCCGCCCCTCCCCTGCACACACGTTTACACTTACACTCTCTCTCTCTCTTTCAAAAATAAACATTAAAAACATTTTAAAAATTAGAAAAATCCATTTCTTATTAAGGGAAACCATCTGTCATGGAGTAGAAAATCAGGGGCTGCAGTTAAGGCAAAACAGTGTACAATTTCTTCACGACATAGCGCGTATTTGCGCTCAGAAAGCAAAAGAACCCAATTCTGAGTAGCTTACCAGACATTAGAGGTGGTGATCTTTGGGTTTTTTCCTTCGTGTTTTCCCTGTTTATTGGGACACGCCACTTCAGTAATTAGGAAAGATCTGAGCTAAGAGGAACGAGCCCCCCTTCTTTCCCCATCCTTTCCATCTTCCCTTCTTGCCCCCACCTCCCTGCCAAGATTAACCAGACTCCCCCTGGTTCCCTGGAATCTCAAAATAGCAGCGTGGACTTGGCTGTGGTCCTTGCGCCCACCTTCTAGGCCCCTGGCTGCTTGGGGAGTCCCCATAGGGTTGCAGGGCAGCCCCTCCACCTGCCTGCTGCAGCCTGACCAGGGAGGCCAAGGCCAAGCTGGGCTGTGGCCAGCTGGTTTATTTGGCTCGCACTTAACCCGGTGCCCTCTCTGCACTGGGCCCTCTGGGCTCGGCTGTGGATCCAGCAACGCACCAGATACGGCCTCCCCTGAGCAGCCTGCGGTCCTGGGCAGGAGGCCAAGGTACACGCATGCTTTCTCCAACAAAAACGCGACCCACCAGAAACTTGAGACGATGCTGTTCCCTCCAGGCCGCCATTACTAGTTTACTCTGGGGGAACGACGTATGCACACGCGGCGTGCACACACATCCATGCTTTTTCATTTCCATTTACTACATCGTGGGTGGATTTCCATGCCAAAAACCATATTTGTAATAGCTGTAGACTATTCCATGACATGATTAAATCTTAATTAGCCCTCTGTGGACATTGAAGTTTCTAGTTTTTCATAATTACAAGCAGTCTTAGGGCAAATATTTTCTAAATATCCCCATATGCATTCACGTGAACACTCTTGAGGGAAACATTCAAAGGACCTTTTGATAGGTCTTGCCACATTACCTTCCAGAAGACGTTTTCCAGGTTATTCTCCTCTCAGCAGGACACAAAAGTGCCCTTTCACCACCTTCGCTGCTGCTATTGGTGGGTGGTATTGGTTTTCCTAATGTCCCAATATGGTAGGTGAAAAGATCTTTAGGTATCAGTGGTGTTAAGCCTCTTTCCATGTGTTTATGGTCACCTGCATTTAAGCATCGTGAAGTGGCCCTCTGTGTCCTGTGCCCACTTTTCTAAGGAAATGTTTATCTTTTTATGCAAGATCCTTTGTGTACGAGGCTGGAGGCAAACTGGGCTCCCCTGGAAGTGGGAGATGCAGCAAGAACACACCTAGGCTGGCACATCCAGGAGGACTTCCTGGAGAAGGCTGTGTTCATCTGCTGGGATTTTCCATTGGAAATCTCACATCTGCTGGATAAATGGATGGATTTCTTTTGTTTCTAGAATAAGGATGGAACAGTTGATGTCCATAACTCAGGAGGAGACAGAGAACCTGCGGAGGCGTGAGATTGCCTGTGAGTCTCAGGGTGGGGGGTGCGGGGTCTCTTTTAGGGGCACCTGGGTTGCTCAGTTAAGCAGCCGACTTTGGCTCAGGTCATGATCTGAGTTTGTGGGTTCGAGCCCTGCATCGGTCTCTGTGCTGACAGCTCGGAGCCTGGAGCCTGCTTCAGATTCTGTGTCTCCCTCTCTCTGCCCCTCCCGTTTGTGCTCTCTTGCTCGTGCATGCTCTTGCTTGCTTGCTCTCTCTTTCTCTAAAAAATAAACATTTAAAAAAATTTTTAATTTTTTTTAATGTTATATTTATTTCTGAGAGAGAGAGAAACAGCATGAGCAGAGAAGGGTCAGAAAGAGAGGAAGACACAGAATCTGAAACAGGTTCCAGGCTCTGAGCTAGCTGTCAGCACAGAGCCTGATGCGGGGCTCAAACCCACGAACTGTGAAATCATGACCTGAGCCGAAATCAGACGCTTAACTGACTGAGCCACACAGGCACCCCTTAAAAAATATTTTTAAACAACTGTACTCTTTTAAAAATTATTCTTAGGAAAGAATCAAATAATGAGATTGCACAAGGATGTTTGAGCAAAGACGTTTATTATTTAACAATTGCAAAAAGAGTCCAAATGCTCCCAGATAGCACATCATCTAAATAAACTTCGGTGATGTGGGCACCACAGTCCCCTGCAGCTGTACCCTCACACCGCCTCCTGGACATGGGGAGGTAGTGACAGAAAGTGAGAAGTGGTGTGTTTAGGGTTGTAACATTTTTAATGTTTTTTATTGTAATAAAATATATAACATAATATTTTCCACGTTAACCACTTCTAATTGTCCAGTTCTGTGGCACTAAGTACCTTCATATTGTCACGCAGCCATCTCCAGCATCCATCTCCAGGACTTTTTCGTCTTCCCAAACTGAAGTTCTGCCCCCATTAAACCGTCCTCTCCATGCCCCTCCCCCCAGCTCCTGTAGAAGGCCCCATTCCATTTTGTCTGAATTTGACGACTCTTGTCACCCCACATAAGCAGAATCATACAGCATTTGTCATTTTGTGACTGGTTTCTTTTACTCATCATGACGTCCTCATCCATGTTGGAGCAGGTATCAGAACTTCCCGCCTTTTTAAGGCTGTGAACGATGTTCCATTGTGCGGGGGCACCTGGGTGGCTCAGTTGGGTGAGCATAGGACTTTTTTTTTTTTTTAAGCGTTTATTTTTGAGAGACCACTCAAGTGGGGGAGCAGTAGGGGAGGGACAGAGAGAGAGAGAGAAACGGAGGATTTGAAGTGGACTTTGGGCTGACAGCAGAGAGCCTGATATGGGGCTCAAACCCACAAACTGTGAGCTCATGACCTGAACCAAAGTTGGACACTTAACCAACTGAGCCACCCAGGCGCCCTGGAGTGTCCGACTCTTAATTTCGGCTCAGGTCATGATCTCCGGTTTCATGGGTTGGAGCCCTGTGTCAGGCTCCGGGCTGACAGTGCATGACAGTGCAGAGCCTACTTGGGATATTCTCTCTACCTCCCCCTGCCCTCTCCTCTTCTCTCTTTTTTCTCTTTTTTTCCTCTCTCTGCACCCTACCCCCACTCATGCTCACATGTGTGTGTGCTCTCTCTCTCTCAATAAAGTTAAATATTCCATTGCATGTATATACCATTTTGTTCATCAGTGGACACTTGGGTTTCTCCTGCCTTTTGGCCGTTGTGAATAACAATGCTGTGAACACGGGTGTATAAATGTCCAGTTCTCTGCTTTCAATTCTTTCATTTTAGCTTTTTTAATCTATAAATATGCATTAAAAATTGGAAGGATATACTATGTCAAAATTAATATCTTTGGGTGACAAAGATGGTAGAAGATCTTGCGTGTGTGCTGTTCAGTGTTTTTACAATTAGCCTTTCAAGCTTAAGTTACTTGCATGTTTTTTTTTAATAGTTTATTGTCAAGTTGGTTTCCATATAACACCCAGTGCTCATCCCCACAAGTGCCCTCCTCCATGCCCATCACCCCCCTTCCCCTCTCAGTTACTTGCATAGTTTTAAAAAGTGTATTTTTTTAAGTGTGACGATGAGGTGGGTGATGAGGGGAGCCCTCCAAGCCCCCCAGAAGTGGCGCCCGTCTCTCAGCCCCCCCCCCTCCGTGTTTCCCCAGCTGCCATGCAGCAGATGCTGACCGAGAGCTGCAAGAACCGGCTCCTCCAGGTGGCCTACGAGTCCCAGCGGCAGAACTTGGTCCAGCAGGCCTGTTCCAGGTAAGGTAAGGAGAGGCTTCCTGAGTTGACGGTGCTGGCTCTGCCCCAGGACCATGGGGTGAGAGTGGGGCACTGACCTTCCCACCGCCACCTCAGCCATGCCGTCCGGGGCAAGTGGTGACTGGCCTTCGTGGCTTTTCTAGCTGGAGCCCAGGCTTGTGTCAGGCTATGGTAAAGTGACCGCGATCACTCCTTCTCCCACACTTTCTGTGAGCCAGGTGCTCGGCCAACCAATGTGTGTTAGCGTATTGAATCTACGAGGGACCGTGTTGTTACTCACCCCGTTTTGCCACAACCGCTCCAGCTCAGAGAGACCGTGTGACACACCCAGGGACACTCAGCTAGCATGTGGCCGAGCCAGGGTTCAAACCCAGGCAGAGCGGGGTGTGATCTCCGAGTATCCGCCTGAGTCGGAAGCAGGGTGTCCTGGAGGGGATGGTAAGGGAGTCGCTTTCACACTGGTGGCAGCTCCGGGTCCGGCTGTCCAAGTTCACCACGTCTCTGTGGGTTTGTCTATTGAAGGAGCCACAGGTGTCCGCACAGCCAGTGGAGAAAAGCTGTTGGTGCTCAAGAGAGGGGCCAGGAGCACTGGCTGCCCTTAGGTTTCTCCACTCCTGACCCCCTCGCCCCCCACCACAGCTGCCAGCTTCTCCCATGACCTTACAGGTGCAGGGACCTCTTCTTCCTTTCTCGGTGGCAGAACATCGTGCTTAGGAATGTGGGCCCTGGCAGCAGACAGCCCTGGATCCAGGGCCCACTTCCTCTGTCCGTAACTGTGACGTGTTGGGCCAGTTAGTTTCTTTCCTGAGCCTCAGTTTTCTTATCAGAAAAAAAGGGATAAGTCAGAGTACCTACCCTGGGGTTGTTGGAAGATTGAAACAAAACCAAGATTATGACGAAGTATAGACGTATGTGAGGATGCAGGGCTTGAATTTTTGTGCCCAAAGCACTAGACCTGTTCTCAGAGACTAAGAGCAGACGCACGGCCAGGGTGAGAAGCGCTGGGGGCATACAGTGGGGCACGGATGTTACTGCTGCAGCAGGAGAGCTTCCTCATGGCCCAAGTGGCTCAACCTAGGAGGTCCTGAGCTCCGTGCTGGCAGAGGTGATCGGGCAGAGGCCAGGCCACCACTTCACAAGGCATTGTAGAGGGGAGCTCGATGGAGGGGTGGATGAGAGTACCCAGAGACATGCTGACTCTGGGGCCATGGGGTTCAGACACACTCTCTGTCTGTGCCCAGCCCAGGACGTAGCCCCCAGCAGGTCCTTCTTGAATGTTGTTGAATGAGTAAATGGTTTATCTTAATCTCTAAGGTCCCTGGCAGAAAATGTTCAGAAAGTGAATTAACTTGTTGTCTTTCTGGCAGCATGGCCGAAATGGATGAGCGATTCCAGCAAATTCTGTCATGGCAGCAGATGGATCAGAACAAAGCCATCAGTCAGATCCTGCAGGAGGTGAGCCCTTGCCCAGGGTGTGAGGCCCCGACTTCCATTCAGGTTATGATCTCACAGCTCGTGGGTTCGAGCCCTGCGTCAGGCTCTGTGCTTACAGCTCAGAGCCCAGAGCCTGCTTCAGATTCTGTGCCTCCTTCTCTCTCTGCCCCTCCCTGGCTTGTGCTGTTTCTCTCTCCCTCCCTCCCTCCCTCCCTCTTTTCTCTCAAAAATAAACAAACAAACAAAAAAAGATGGGCACAGGGAGCCTGAGGCAGAGCATCAGAAATCCACGTGGAGCCCTGTCCTTAGAGAGCTTATAAAACCCAAGATGCTTTGTCCTTTTATAGATGTACAGACTCCGGAAGGAGTGGGGCAGAGAAAGGGAGAGGGCGGTCTGAGGAGCACTCCCTACTTCCCTGGCAGTGCTGTGTGGCTCCATCGTAAGGGCCTCAGGGACGAGGACATGGTGATGGCACCATGGGGGTAGAGCCCACACGAGAGCACCAAGGGCCCTTGACTTCTTGCTTCCAAACTGCACACCTCTGTCTGCTCCCTTGCCTTCCTCATCAGTGAGATGGGGCAGTGAAAGCCCCCACACATCACTGGCCGAGGGATGTCCATGTACAGTACAGGAATGGCACTGAGCATAGTGTCTGGCACTATTAAGCCTTTCGTAAGTATTCTCTAAAATGTGAACAAGTGAGCTGAAAAGTCACGATCTTGCTGACAGAGTAGCCCTACATTAAGGTGTTTTGAGCAGATTGTGAGTCTTCTCCTGGTACGAACCCCTGGGAAAGCAAGGCTGCCAGGCACCTGCTGAGCACCCCCCCCCCCTTACAGAGTGCCATGCAGAAGGCTGCATTTGAGGCTCTGCAGGTGAAGAAGGACCTCATGCACCAGCGGATCAGGAAGCAGGTGGGTGCTGCGGGCAGTGCTTTCCTGGGCAGCACGGGAGTCCTGTGCTGGTTCAGCGAGCGGCCTCCCCCAGACATGACTGGTTCCTTTCCGATGACGCCCTGGGCGGAAGGGAAGGGTAGTGCCCAAGTGCGGCCTGGAGTGCCTGGGCGGCCTCTGCACCCACCGCGCCCCAGACAGGCCCCCCTCGCTGGGGAAATGCAGTCGGCTCAGGTGGAGGAGCTGGGGTGGATGGGGTGTCCCGCTGGGGCAGGCAGCGGGTCCTGGTGTCCCCGAGGGCCGACTTGCTGAGGTCCCAGCTGACCTGCGGGCTGTGCTGGACCCCCTGGGCTTTCCAGCGGGTGAGGTGGGCCATGGGCGCACAGGCTGGAGACGGACTCGGCCTTCAGGTGGTGGGAGTGGTCATCACATCCTACTCTGGCACACTTTGAAGTGTACGTTTTTGCATGTTATTTTTTTTTTATTCTTTTCCTTTTTGGCCAAAACCAACTTCTCTTTTTATTTCCCTCTTTAATTTCAACCCCACCTTGCCGGACATGAAGCTCATTCCTCTGACCAGGGGTTGGTGGGGCCATAGGAACTTAGGGGCGAGAGCCATAAGTCGCAGGCTTAGGGCAGAGGAGTCACTGGCTATGGGGTCTGACCCCCAGACCTCCTCCCTGTGGGTGATTCTGACCCACCAGGCCAGGCTGTTCCCCTTCAGACCCTGAGCAGGGAGATCCCCAGGAAAGGGATCACCAACTGACCTGCTCTGTGTCCTTGAGCAAGTTACTTAACCTCACTGAGCCTCAATTTCCCATCTGTAAAATGGAGACAAGAATACGTCCTAATACCCAGAAGAGATTTGGTGAAATGACACAGATCCAGTCCCCAGCACAGGCCTCGCACACAGAATGTTCTGTAAGCATCAGCCGCCACCATTGATGGTACTACTCTGTCCCCTCTATCACCCTCTGCTCTCCTCTATGATGGCAGTTAGAGGAAGCAAGAGGGCCAGGCAAGTACGGCACACGGTGAGGACTCGTGTCTGGTCTGCGCTCTGGCCGGAACCTTAAAGGAAGGCCTGTCTCCATTCCATAAGCTTCTAGGCACCCTCTCTGGTCCAGGCCCTATGATCAGCTCCTGCGCAGCAGTTCACCAGGACGGGCCCATCTGTGCCCCACAAGCGCTCGGGGCCCTGAAACAGCTCATTATTTTAAACTCCCACTGAGGGGGTTCCCAAGGCACCTAAGTCCCCTTCATTCTTGAGCCCCTCAAAAGGTATCTTAGACCCCACATGGCCTTCAGAGAGCAGCACAGACTTGAACCTTGGTTAATGTGAATAAAAAACACTGTCTCATCTTCTGTTTAGATTAAGTTAATAGAAACAGAGTTATTGCAGCTGACACAGCTGGAGGTAAAGAGGAAGTCCCTGGACACAGAGGCATTGCAGGTACGTAGGGCTCCCCGGCCTCCCCCTCCCTCCCCTCCTTCCTCCCTGGAGGAAATCCCCACCCGGGCTCCCCATGCCTCTCTCCCAGCAGCGGCTCCCCAACAGGCAGACGGTCTTCTCTGTGGCTGTCTTCCCTCTACAGCCTGGGGGCTGAGCCCCGCACAGGGCCAAGGTTAGGGGCAGGTCAGCCTATTGCTCAGCAGGAGGGTCAGAGGAAAGAGGGTTTCATTGCCAAGGCTCCCCCAGACCCATCTCCATTTCTTTATTTTGAAGGAGGGTCACTGCTGAGCTCCCTGTGTCTTTAAGCCATGCTTCGAGGGTGCTGGTTCAACCATGGGCTTGACATCCTCTGGGGAAGGAGCTTGCTTACTGTCCCAAGGATGTCTGGAGGAAAGCGCCCAGCTGTTACCATGTCACCCCCTGGAGGCGACTTCTCTGGGAGCCCTGGACTGTGTGTCCAAGACCTGGGGCTTCTCCCAGTGTAGTCCTGCTGTGTGATCTGGGCAGGCAGGGGGAGAGGCTGGACCTTTCTGCTCAAAGGGGATGGATTAATGGTGTGTGAGGACCTGAGGACCTGGAGGCCACACCAGGCTTCTGAGCAGAGTGTTCTGTCTGTCCCTGTCCCTGTCCCTGTGTCTGTTCTCAGAAGACAAGTCTTAAGTTGTCTCATGGCTTCTCCACCCCATGAAAGCGTGCTGAGGTCTGTAGCCATCCCGCTCTGAGGTCTGCCACAGGTGCGCCGTGTGACCTTAGGCAGGTCACTTCCCTCTTAGGCCTCCGTTTCTCCCCTCCATAAAATGAAAGAATCTTCCAGCACAGCCTTTGTCACAGGGCCATCCCACTGGGGTGAGCTAGCCAATGCAAAGCCCTTTGGGAGCCTCGCTGTGGCCCTCCGAGATGAGGACTCAGGGTAGCTCTCAGAGAAGGCGTGCCGCCGTGCTTGGTGGGCACCCGTGTCTCCTGGCCGTTAGAGCTTGTGGGGCTCCCATCTGGGTGCCTCCACAGGTTTCCAAGAGTAAGAAACGAATGGAACACAGACACAGGCGAGGGCTTTGCTCCGGTTGCATGTGCCTCCATCTGTGTTAGAACCGTCCAGACTCCTGTGGGGATACCCACCAGCCCGCCCTGCCTGTGCTTCTGCCCACATGCCGTGCAGTCCATGAGCCTGCAGTCACGTACCTGTGGCTTGTCATTTCCTTTGTTTGACGTTTCTTACCATTTTGCTGTCATCCGTCACTAGATCCCACGCCTGGCCTGACCTCCCATGTGGAGAAGATGGGGAAGGGATACCCAGGCACAGGGGCCCCTCGGCTCTGTCCCCCGATGCCCAACTTAATTGCATTGAGCCCACTGCAGGGTCGCTGCTGCCAGGCTCAGAAATAGGGGCGGTTTGGGGGGAATCCTGCCACCCACTGGGGACTGTGGGAGCCAGAGCTGTGCTTCCAGCAGCACTGGGCCTGCTCTTGTGTTGCAGGAGATGGTCTCAGAGCAGCGCTGGGCCCTGAGCTCCCTGCTCCAGCAGCTGCTCAAGGAGAAGGTGCGGCGAGAGGAAGAGCTCCGGGACCTCCTGGTGCGTTCAGCTTCTGCGTCCCAGTCGCACATGGGTTCGCTTTCCCTAAACACACTTGCCCTTCTTCGAAGCATTTCTGCCATTCACATAACAGTGGCTCATCAAAGAAAGCATGGAATGTACAGAGCAAGGGCATTTCCCTCCCAAGAGTTCTCGAATGCTAACGTTTGGATGTGTGTTTTCTAAACTCCACGAGGCATCTTCATAAGCTGTGCTTGGATGCGCCGCGTAAGCGTCCGATGGGGCACCTCCCTTTAGAACCAGCCCTTCTGCGTCTGTTCTCTTTGTGCCTCTGAAATGTCCTCTGCGCTCTTCCAGGCTGCCTTTGGATGGGCCATTGCAGCCTCGGGCCAAGCATTCACACTACTTCCAGTTTTTTCCTTTTCTAAGCCGTGTTCTCTTTGCAGATAAGTACCAAGAATGGCCATTCGGGGCAGGTGCCCAGGAGAGGACTCCCTATGTCCAGGGCAGGCTGTGTCATAAGCTTTTGACAGGAGCTACCCAGCTGTCCCCTGTACCCAAATGGGTGTGACACTGGCACATTGTCAGAGTGGCAAAGCCCTGTTGAGGGGTGGCAAGTGGGGTCATGTCCTGCAGACCCCGTGTGCATCTGAGGCGGGGGGAAGGCTCAGAGGCTCAGTCCTTGCTGCTCTAGACACCCTCTGAGCTCCGCTGTGGGTGGAGCTGTGTGCAGAGGGCCGAGAAGAGGGAGGCTGCTCCCCCAGCCGCACGCCGGCCCGGGGGGTGTGCCCAGGCCCATCAGAAGCGGCCTGTTCCTCACCGTGCCCTGCCGCCTGTGCCTGCAAATCTCGCTGACGGGCGAACAGCGTGTTAGCCTCATCCCCCGGTGCCCTGGTCCTGCACTCCTGCCCTTGAGGGGCCTCTGAGGGCTCCCCTTTCAGGGAAGGAGGAGCCACCCCAGCAGATGGTGACGGTCAGGGTCAGGGGCTCCGGAAGAAATGTGGCTGCAGCCCAAGGAGGGCAGGGACCAGCAGAGGGGAGCAACTCCGCAAGGTCTAGGAGGGACCACCGAAGGGCAGTCAGGCCCCCAGGGGACAGGGGAAAATGCCTGTGTCGAAGTCCTGTGGCCCCACAGCTTCTTTGGCCCCCAGCGTGTGGCCACAGTCCTGACCAGCCTGGCTGGCTTGCCCAGAGCACAGGCCCCAGGGCGGAACAGACTTGTGTCCAAGTCCCGGCCCTGATCCCCAGGCAGCTCTTTGATCTGGGCAGGTTCTTAATAGCTCTGAACCTCTGTTTCCTCACCTATGCAGCTGGACCCCCCTCAGAACTGTGCAAATTAAGGAAAATGGCATCTCGGTGTGTAGTGGGGTCTGGTGCATGGCACTCTGAAAACGTTCACTGCGTTGTTGCAGCATTTGTTCACCGTCCTGGCCACAGTGCCTGGAACCGTGTGTGGTCTAGAACCATCCTCAGTGACTGCTTGTTCATGGTGGAATGAAGGAACCCGTTTCAGGAGTTTGTCTAATTCTCCAGCTTTGGCAGAAGGGGAAGGCCCATTCTAGACGCTCATACTGTCCCTAGAATCCTACTTTTCTCCCTGTCACTAGCGCATGAGCCCGAGGAGGGGCCTGCAGAGCATGGTGCCAGGCGTCCGCAGCCCAGATTCAGGCCCCGCCCCCAGGTGTGCGCTGGATGAGATTGTCTGCAGCAGAAATTGGGGGGTAGAGGCACTTCCTGCCTTTCCCGTTTCAGTGGTTTAAACGGTGAGGCTATAGTGGCTGGGAGCATTCCTTGTATATTACCAAGCACCCCTCCCCCACTCCCCGACCCGCTCAGAGCATCATTCACAGTCGCCGCCATCATCATACTTTTATTTACTGACTTATAGCTAATGGCACCTGTTTCATCCCTGGCAGACAGAGTTAGAAGCCAAAAGCGAAACCAAGCAGGAAAATTACTGGCTGATTCAGTATCAACGGCTTTTGAACCAGAAACCCTTGTCCCTAAAGCTTCAGGTAAGGGCTGCTGGCACCCACCCTTCCTGAGAGCCCTCCGGTGCCTCGGTGATGCCCGGCTTCTTGATCTTTCCAGTTTAGTTCTGTTCATATTTCTGGTGACAAGTGTGCTAGGCCCTGGCAGGGACAGAAGAGAGAACACTTGTCTCTCTTTGGCCAGAGGCCGACACAGGTGAGCCACCGGGAGCTGCCTGCAGACACCTGCTGTGGGTGGGGTGGGTATGCCCACCAACACACATCCACACACGCACGCACTGGGTTTTGTTTTGCCTTTTAATAAAAATGGAGTCATTCTATACATACGATTTAGGAAAACTTCTTTTTTGTCTTAATAACGATAGGCAGTTCGCCAGGCGTATACATAATAGATCATCTGTGTTTCCAGACGACTGTGTAGTATCGAGTCTCTGGATGAACCCTCGTTTATTTAAACAGCCTCCTCTTCATGAGTACTTGATTGCTCACCATGTTTCCGTTTCCACATAGAGTGGCAGTGAACTTCCTCGTACCTTTATCTCCGCTTCCATGTGCATTTTTGTGGGAAAAGTACCAAGGAATCCCATACTCGGTATGCCCGGAGCCTTGGTTTGCCATTGTAAGTAGTGAGGTCTCATTGGCCGCGTGCTCTGCTTCCCCGTGGCTCTGTCCTGCAGGAGGAAGGCATGGAACGCCAGCTGGCAGCCCTCCTGGTGGATCTGTCGGCCGAACACTACCTGCCCATCTTTGCCCACCACCGCATCTCCCTGGACATGCTGAGCCGGATGAGCCCTGGGGACCTGGCCCAGGTGAGAAGCAGCAGCCCCTCGGGGGAGGTTGAGGGGTGAATGAGGCCACTGTCCTATCTGTCAAGTCCGCTTACTCTGGTGCGGTTATTGGCGAGGTCTGCCGTTGTCCAGTGTTCCAGGGCCCCCTGGCTTCCAGATGGCCAGAACGCCCACCCCATCGGCCCCCAACCCCCTGCGTGTGCCCTCCACGCCATCTGCCTACAAAAGTCCGGGGATGTGAGTTCTGACCCCAGACTACCCCACCTGCTCAGATTGGACCCTCACGTTGTGGGCCCGAGACAAGTCCTTGGAGGTTGTCTGCTTGAGCCCTGGCCCAGGCCATGGTTTTACAGACCTTGTAATGGCAGTGCTGCCCGAGCCTAGTGACTTCTGGGAGGAGCTGAGCTCTGCATTGCATTAGTTCATTTATTTCTCAAACGAGCCAAGTAAGGAGGACAGCCCACATCTCTGTAGCACTTGCTGGTGCCAGGTGCTGTTCTAAGTACTCTTCGTGTGCTAACCCTCGCACCCTCCCAACAACCCAGGCAGAAGGGGACCATCCTTGTCATTTTGCAGACGAGGAAGCTGAGACGCAGCAAGGTAGTCACTTGCCTGAGGTCACACAGCAGAGTCGGGACTCGAGCATGAGGGGTCTGGTGCCAAGTCCATGCTGCTCACCACTCTGCCACTGTGTCGTCTGTCCCTTGACCCAGAAACTGAGACTCTGAAGAGCTCCACGGGGGCCATGCCACCCAAGGGACTGTGTGGTCCCAGCGCTAGTCCTTCTCGGCGGCTCGGCCTCCACCTGCACCGCCTGGCCCTTCCTGTAAACTCTGACAGTGGGTCCCAACTTACCGGTTGTCCTGGGGTTGACATGAGGTCACACGGGTGAAGGGGTCCCTTCCCCAGCACAGGGGACACGTGCTGTTTCCTTTGGGGCCTCCGTTTCTCTCCCTGCCACCTGGTCACCTTCACAGCTGTGGTACGGCACTGCCTCGTGTTGACCCTGGGGCCCAGGCCTCCGCATTTCCGCCGAAGGTGCCAAAAGCCAGGAAGGAGGCAGTCCCGATGGCTCTGTGCCGTGTACTGAGCCCCCACCCAGCCCAGGCCATAGCTTGCTTCTCCTTGACCTGCCACAGGTGGGCGTCCCGGAAGCTGGCCTGCAGCACGAGATCCTGCGGAGAGTCCGGGAGCTGCTGGGCGCGGCCAGGACCCAGCCAGGTACCCATGCCAGGACCCCTCCTGAGCAGAGGCTCCGGCCTCACTTGTGGACTATGGCTCGGGCATCACCTGTTCACATTTCAGGACCAAAGCTGAGGGCCGGTTCCAGCCCCTGCCGGTCCTTAAGATTCCCTCCCAAAGGAGCAGGATATACAAATGGGAAAAACAAGCCACAAAAATGGGGGAACAAAGAAGCTTCCTTGCAGAAGAGGCCCTCCTGGTTCCCCGTCCTAGAACCTTCCCTAAAACTACTCTACAAACACGGGGAACCATACCCGTGGATCCTTGGAATAGAGGAAGGAACCGGCTACAGCCAGGGCCTGACACCTTGCCTGGGACAGGCCTGTGGTCAGACATGGAACAGGGTTTGTGATGCCCTTGAAAGGGGGTAAAGGCAGGTCCTAAAGCCACTCCACCTACACGTAGAGGCCCGGACAAGGTAGGTGCTGTGGCTGATGTGGGAGTAGATACAGGAGTTGGGGGTCTCCTACTGCGCGCAGGATCCAGGTACCAGGTGTTTGCCCACCGCCTCACAGGTACCATGATGTGTCACCTCTGTGAGGTGAGTGCCGCTGCTCCCTCCATTTGACGGATGAGGGAACTGAGGCAAAGAGGGGTTCACGTGTCCGCCCCAACCTCATAGAGCTGGTGAATGCTGAACCCCTGAGCTCTCCTGCCTCCCTCGAGAAGAGGCCACGGGGCCTTGATGAAGGAAGTGGGCCTGGCACCAGGATGAAGGACAGGGCAGGGTCTGTTCAGGGCAGAGACCAAACGTTGCCAGGCCAGATTGCAGGGGTGAGGCAGGAGCTCTGCTGCCAGCAGGGAGGAGGCCCTGGGTCCCCAGGTGTCTGGGCCAGTGGCAGCGCCATGATGTCCTCGGGCTCCAGCTGTCCAGCCACAGCTTTATTCCAGGGACATGGACCCAACCTAACCAAGTCCCTAAACTAACAGTCCTTTAAATAGACAGCTTCCTCCCCTTCGAGATGTTTTCCAGCCCTGATCCCTCCTGCAGTCAGACTGCAGGTCAGGTTAAGTTTGGCATCAGGAGTTGGGATCTCCTCACCCGACCCCACCCAGGCTGGCCCACAAAGCTCCCCTTCACTCTGAGCCCCTCCCTGTCCTGACACCTGCCTCTCACAGTCCGCCAGCAGCGCCGGGCAGCTTCCTGACTGTGCCCTCCTGCAGGGAAGGCTGGGTGGGCTGGCTCTCGCTCCGCTGCAGAAGGGGCAGGAGACCTTTGGCCGTTTTCCTCACGTTCTTACTGCTCCCAGGACTTGTAGATGTCACGTTACATATGGAAGAGCCCCTTTACAGTGATGGTCTGGGGGCACCATGGTACCTTTAGAGAGCCTAGTGTTGTAACAGCCTTAAAAAATATGTTCAGATTTTTCCAGTTATAAAAATTCCTAATTTAAACCATAGGGTAGATGGGAAAATGTGAGCCATGGTCATGAAAGAGACTGCATTTTGTAAGGGCTGATTCTGGTGTCCTGCCTGTGGGGACCGCAGTGGGGGTGCTGGCTCTAAGGCAGAGGTGGAGGGGACAGCCTTGAGGGCTTCTCCTTCCTCACCCTACTCCCCGCTGTCTCCTGGGGAAGCTGTGAACACAGCCCCCATCCACCCCGAAGTCCCCAAAGCTCCTGCACCACCACTCCGCCGCCAGATGGCCCTGTGGTCTTGGACGAGTGGCTGCCCTTCGCTGAAAGGGACAAGGCCTCTTGCCGGGTGGCTGTGAAGGATCCAGGGAATGGTCAGGGGTCAGAGGCCCCAGTTAACCAGCACTGTGGCCATCCCTGCCCGGCTCCCAGCACTCCTGTCTTACAGGAGGGAATGAGGCTCAGAAAAGCGCTAAGGGGGCCCTCACCCCTCCGTGAGATCAAAGCACCCCCCTTGCACTCCCTGCCCACTCGTGGCAGGCAGAGTGCCCTTCCCCCAGGGGTTGGGATCACTGAGGTGTGACCCTGGCTCATCTTATCCTTCGGTCCCCACAGAGCCGCTGAACCCACCCAAGGGTGAGGTCCTCGGGGCCATGGAGGTGCCCACCGCCCCCGAGGAGCCTCCTGAGTCAGTGAGCCCATCTGCTCCCCCGGCAGAACCAGAAGTGCAGACCTCCGAGTGTGTCGTGTGCCTAGAACGGGAGGTAAGTCCAGGGCAGCAGTTGGGCCTGCACCCCCCTGAGCCTTTCCAGACTGGTGTTCTTTCTGAACACTTTTTTTCCTACTGGTACAAGTATATTGTATTCATTAGAAACTGTGGGAAATCCAGGAAAGCAAAACAATACAGGAAATTGTCATGATCTCATGACCCAAATATGAGCATTTTCTAGGGCTTGTTTTTCTTTTTTTTAAAAGAAAGGGTCCTCTCCACCTAAGAAAAATTTCCCAAGTCCTTAAATATCAGCAGCGCAATTTTCTCTGAAGAGGGTTTTAAAAAACCATCTTCAAAAATCTATAACAAAATTTTACACTTATTGTAAAAATTTAACAGTGCGTAAAATCTCTCCTCCTTCTGCTGTGCGATCCTACTTAAAAGAAGCAACAACGTTGGCAGTTGAATTATCCGTGGTCTTTACTAGGCACGAGGGATGCCGTGATGTGGAGGGAGGTGTTGCTTCTGAATGGAACCAAACGCTGCTTTGGGGACCCACGTTTCTCCCTATGAGCCATGCTGTACCAAACAGCCTTGAACGGAGCGGATCATTTCCTCAGGATAAATCCTAAAGAGGAAATGTTGCAGCAGAGTGCAGGCCTGCTTACAAGGCTTTTGCTCCACGACATTGGAATCGTTTTTAGACCGAGGGGCTGCTCCTTGTGCAAAAAGACATTTAAGACAATCGGCGTGTCCAGTGGGCAGGGGCTAGTTAGACCCCCCGTGGCCTCCCGTGCAGCTGTGAGAGGGCACCAAGGGTGTGGGGTGGGTGGTGGGCGATGACCACGCGCTGGTACCAGGTGCTTCCAGTAAAGGGGTGGGGGGAGACTCAGTTGCCCAGCCCCGAGGAACGGGCGGGGGGCGGGGCCCAGATGCTCCCACTCTGTCCTCAGGCCCAGATGATCTTCCTCGACTGTGGCCACGTGTGCTGCTGCCAGCAGTGCTGCCAGCCCCTGCACACCTGCCCGCTGTGCCGCCGCGAGATCGTGCAGCGCCTCCGCATCTACCACAGCTGCTGAGCTGCGCCTTGCACCCCGCGCAGCCCCCCACCCCTGCCCTGGGCCCGCAGGTGCCCCCCGCCCCCCCTCCATGCACACCAGGGTGGGAGGGGGTGGACTGTTCCGGACCCTGACTCTGATGGCTGGTGTGAATGATCTGGAGGGAGAGCGGACTCAGGGCCTGAGGACAGGGTCGGGGGTTTGGAGAAGCCTCCATCGGAGCAGAAGCCTGCGTCCCAGCCTCTGACCATGCCAGTCCCTGCCCCTCCGGGAGCCTCGGGGCCCTCATCAGGAGGGCCCTCACCAGGGTAACTTGGACAGCGCCGTCCCTGGTGGTGGGTGGTGGGGTGCAGGAGGGCCCTAGCCCCAGGCTTGGGGAGGCCGTGGGTAGAGCTGTGTGTGGTGGCCCCCTCAGCCCACCCTGGGCTGTCCTGTTGGTCCAGCGTTAGGCCTTGTGCCGCACGCGATGTGGGTCCCTCCTTGCCTCGCCCTCGGTGTCCAGATCTACACCTCCTAGCCCCCCCACAGCTCACAGGCAGACAACCAGCTTTATAGACCCAAAGCAGGAATGTCAATAAATCCACCTCCAGCCTGCTCCTTCTGTGTCATCACTGGGGGATCCCCGGGGGGGCCCGGGGAGGGGGCAAGGTGGGGGCTGGGGTGGGCTTTACCTCCATCAGGCAAGAGGAGGGAGGGGATAGAGGCATTCTCAAATGCAAAGTTAAGCAAAATTTTCCTTCTTACAGGTGGACAGACTGGGCTCAGAAGGGCACAGGGAGGGTCAGCAGGAGCACGTTGGTGGGGGGTATGTGTGGAGACAGGGGCCTGAGAGAGGAGGCTGAATGCCCAGGGCCTGGCAGCTGGGACTGGGCAGTGCTGGGTCTGGAGCCTGGAAGCATCTGGATTCCCAAAGCCATGGAGTTGTGCAAGTGGTTCATTATTATAATTCTAGAAGGAGCTATGTACCTTTGTACTTGCTATAGAGTTGCACATTTATTGTGCGTTTTCTGGTAGATGGTTTTGAACCGAGAACAGCTCTCTGAGCTAGAGGTGGTCTCATTGGGGCACCTGGGCTCTGCCCGGCCTTCGGAGACTCCTTTCCCCCTTGCATTCAGTGTGGGACAGGATGGGGCCCAGATGCAGGCTGGTGGCCACCAGGGGGCACTGAGTGCTCACCCCAGGTGCAATGCTGGAAGCGGAGGCCCTGGCCCTGGGGTGACAGCCCTGTCTCCCCAGGCCTCTGTTTCCCTACCTCATCAGGGACCATCATCCTGTGGGCTGAAACGGGATAGGACGAAGGCCCCTTTTGAGTTCTGCTTTCCTGGCACGAGCTGGGGCCTGTTCCCATACCCTGTCCCCACCCATCTCCGACCTGGGGAGCTTTGGTGGGTCCCTTGCCCCAAACCTGGGCTCCCCTTGGCCTAGAGGGGAGACTGAGACCTAGGTGGGCAGGGCTACCTAGGGCACAGAGTTTTCCGAACCACCTGCAACTAGGCCCCGGGAGAAAGGGCTTTTACGACCACCCCTCCCGCATTTAGAGCTGTGGAGCCGGAGGCGCAGTGTGGAGACTTGCCAAGGACAACAGCAAGACTGCATGTGACTTGGTCTCTGGCCCCATAGTCCCTGCTGTTTCCCACCTCAGCCCTTGGTAACCAGCCCCCAGCCATGGGCCGTCAGGGGCTGTGGCCCCTGCCCCGAAACCCCTGCCAAGGAGCCACACCTTCCTGGGCCTCAGCGTACCCGGCAGTGACATGGTGGTAACGAGGATGCCCGCCTCTTGGAGCAGCTCTGGGTCCTGCACAGAGAGTGCACACACCGCAGTAAGTGCTCGGTAAGTACTGTGTGAGGGGGGGCCGGGGGCCCACCTCCGCTGTGGACGCCCCAGGGCCACGGGCCTTCAAGTGTGGCCACCACCCCCTTGGCTTCCCCAGCACCAGGGGCTGCCTGAGCCACACCCTGCCCCTTCTCTCGGGGCCGGTTTCCTCTAAGATGGGGGAACACAGGTGCTCAGACCATGCACGGAGCCCAGAGGGCAGGGTGCACTGCTGGTGGGAGACCAGGGCTCCAGCCCTGGTCTCCCCCTGCTGCCACCGCACACACAGGCCACTGGCTTTAAATCATTTATTGATTAGTAAAGCTTAAACAGTTTGCATAATATTTTCAGTACAATATCTGGGAATGATGATTGAGAAAACCCCAAGGCACTAGAGAGCATCTGAACACAGAACGAGGTGGCAGGTTAGTGAGGCAGTGGACAGTCCTGCCCTGAGCTCCGGCAGCCGCCGCCACATGTCCCATGGGTCTGAAGCCCCTGCCCTAGGAAGGGGACCGAGGGTGCAGGGTAGAGGAGGGGGCTGGGGAGACAGGCAGGACAGGGCTGCCAGCGTGGGGCTACCTCAGCTAGACCTTCACCCCTGGGAACAAGTCGCTGCGGAAGGAGGGCATATAAAAAGGGAATTTTCAGGGTGAGGTGACTTAGAGGCAGCAACAGCCAATCCACAGCCTGACCCCAAGTCCTCAGAGGGTTACCAGCAGCGCCTAGGGGAGCTGCACTCAGCCCCCCGGTTGGACAGTGCGTACCTTGGGGGTGGCCCACAGATGAAATCTACACCCACCCCACCCCCACCCCCCCGAGCACACGGCCACGCTCCCCTCCATCCCACCCCACAGCATGTGGCCGCGAGATAGGCAAGGGGGACCGAGGGAGTCCCGGAGGCTGGGTGCCCATCGTCAGGAGCCAGGCTAAGCCGCCAGGGGTGGGGGTGGGGGTGGGGTTGCAGAAGCCGGTCCACCTCCAGCAGCCTTCCCTCTGCCGCCTCAGCCTGCCTTGAAGACACTCCCAGCAATACTTCCCCAGAGCCCCTCTTGCCTCCCTCAGGACACTTCCTCTCCACAGACCAGCACATTCTGGGCCTTTCTCATTCCAATCCAAGCCCCACCCCCACCCCTCCTCCATTAGTCATCCCCACCTCCCCCAACCTAGCAGCCCCAGCCTGGCTCCAGCCTCAAAACCCCTCCTTGCACCTTCCCTCACCCAGAGCAGGGAAAGCAAGGCCAATGTCCCCTCCAAAACTGCCATCTGGGGGCCTAGAGATGGGCCCCAGTGCTCCTGGCTCCTGGTTCCAATGAACAGCTCTTGGTGAGGAGGGAGGGAACCCAGTGGCCGAGTAACACAGCAAGTCACCACTCTACCTCCATCTTTCTGAGAAGGCTGGTGAGACCCATGAGGGAAACCGAGGCTGCAAAAGGCAGAAACGGAGGACCCGGGGACTCGGTGACCCCCGGGTCCACCTCAGCTGTGCCCAGCTCCCAGCACAAGCAGGAAGCCCAAAGTCATCCCCCAGAAGAGAAAGCAGGAGCAAAGTGTGACCGAACCCAGTAAAGTGACTCAGGTGGGCCACCCCTGCCCAGCCCCAGAGGTGCCACACCAGCCCGGGGCTCCCTACCTGGAGCCAAGCCTGCCCGTGCCTTGGAGGGGGGTGACCCATGGGCCATGTCCAGCAGCAGCTCAGGGGGGACCGGCCTAGAACTCAGTCTGTACCCCTGCGCCGTCCTCGGTGGTGGTGTGGATGGGAGGGCGGCCACCAGGGCTGGACACCTGCTCCCCGGTCTCCTGGTCACTAGGCTTGGGGGGCTCAAGGTCCGCAGCTTTTCCAGGAGGGGGTTGCCGGAGGGGCGAGGCTGGCGGCGAGGAGGCCTCAGAGGCTGCCCCAGGCTGGGGGCTCTCCTGGGAGGGGGCCCCGTTGAACAGAGGGCCAGCCAGTGGGGGGCTCTCGGCCCGCAGATCCTGGGCCAGCAGACCACGGAGCTCGGTGACACTGTCCGGGGACGCAGGTGATAGTGGCTCCGAGCCAGCCTCAAAAGGCAGCCCCGCCTCCTCGTCCTGCACCACGGACACCACCTGCTTGGCACGCCGTCGCTTTTCCGAGAGGGGGGCTGCTTCCGGGACACTGGGGCTGCTGCTGTCCCCACCGCTGCCACCATACTCCTCACCCCAATCGATGGGTGCGCCCTCTGCCAGCAGATGCAAGTTGGGGTCGCTGTTGTGCATGACCATGCTGTCCCGGTACAGGTTGTGTTTCCTCTGCACAGCGGCCTCCTTCACGGCTGCGGGGCCAAAGTGGGGGGGTGGGAGGGGTGGAGAGACACTTACCACGGGGTCCACGCCCACCCCACCCCGAGGCTGCACCCAAGTATGACCCACATCATCCCCTCCAGGCCTCACTGCTGGCAAGGAGCGGCCTGAGCTGCTAAAGACTGTGCCAGCCTGTCACTCCTGTGATACCTGAGAGAACACTAATGCCCAGAGAAGCAGTGCTATCCTCAGGCCACACAGCATGCCTAACCCAATGCCCAGGCCTAAGTCTGGTGATCCTGGCAGGAAGACCTCTCAGCAATGTCTACCACCCCACGGGCAGCGGCGGCTCCCACCCGGCACAGTGCTGGCCCCCCGTACCCTGCAGGATGTCCTTCATCACCGTCTGCAGCACCACCTCCTCGTACGTGTTCTCCACCAGGATGAACCGGGCAAAGTCCTCGAAGATCAGCTCCTGGAACCGGGGGAGCTCCTGCGGCAGCGGGGGAGGCCAGGACAGAGAGAGGGGGTCAGGCCCGCCGAGGGGCTGCAGCAGGCTTGGGGGGGGGGGGCTTGGCCAGGGGGCGCTCACCGACTTGCACGTGGGGGCCAGCTTCTTGAGCAGGAACGGGATGGTGATCTGCAGCAGCGCCTCCCGGAAGAATCGCTTCCGCACCGAGCTGCTATCGTAGTCATATTTCTGCCAGGAAAGGGGCCAGGGACGAGGTCTCTAGGTCAGGGGGACGGAAGGCCTGGGTCTGACCTGAGCCTGGACATCCCCATCTGTGCCGGGGGCGGGGGGAGGGGGCAGTGGTGCCTCACCTTGAGCACCCGCTCCAGGATCCGCTGGATGGACTTGCACAGCTCCTCCTTGGTGGGCCCCTTCCCCAGCTCCTGGTGCAGGAGGGTCTCGAAGGTGTACACGGCATTGTCCATTTGCTGCAGGGCACACCGCGGGGTGTGTGAAAGTGCTGGAGGGAGCACAGCCCCTTCTTGCACCCCTCTGGGGGGGGTTCCTCAGCCAGCCCTCTAGCCCAGCCTGCCGGGAGGCATAAGGGCGGCCTGTGTGCTCATTCTTTTGTTCACCCACATCTTTTCTGAATGTCTGTGTGCTGGCATAGTGCCAGGCACCGGGCCAGCCCCTGTCTTGAGGGAACAGGGGTCCTGGGCCCTGCAGGAAGGGATCTGGGGAGTAAGGAGGGCTTCCTGGAGGAAGGGATCTCTAGGTGGAGACCTGAGAGAGGAGTCTAGATTAGCCAGGTGAACAACGGGGCGGGTGTTCAGCAAACGGTAGTTCCCAAGAGGCCAAGCAGGAGTGAGCACTCCAGGGGCTGCACAGGGGCCCTGTGCGTAAGACCTGGGTAGGAGCGGGGGGTGGGGGAGCTCCGGGGCCCACCTCTCGCATGTGGATCTGGGCTCGCTGCTTGAACACGGATGTACTAGACACATCGAAACGCTGCTGCAGCCCGTCAAGCCGCAGCGGCTCCATCTTCTCATAGCAGCTCTGCATCTTGAGGGGA